ACACGATTATTCTCCCAGTCTTCAACTCGAAGGACATGGTGAAAAAAAGCAGCGCGCGTAACCACACGTTCAACCGGCTGCTCCTGGGCCTCAAACACTTTCAGTTTCGGAAGCTCCTGCAGGCAAAGTGCGAACTCATGGGCAAGTTACTGGTCGTTTGCTCAGAGATGTACTCTAGCCAAACGTGCGGTCGATGCTCCAAGCTTCACTTGAGACTCGGTAGTAGAGATGTATTTTCGTGCCCCCCATTGTGAACACGTTGCGGGTCGAGACGTCAACGCAGCTTTCAACATCTTGCGCTTTGTGTGCGCAGGATCTCTGGCGGTGAGTGCAATCCACCACTGACTCTACCGTTGCTACCAAATTTTATCTCGGGTTACGGCGAGAATCGACAGAGTTAGCTAGGAATAGGTAGCGTTTGTTAGGAGATCTGTAACGGAGTGCCATTCTCTGTAGTCAATACTACAGTAGAAACTTATTAATCTATCGGTCACATTTGACCATATTCTCTTCATCAAAGTGACGGATCTCGTGCATCAACTTTCAATCACCATGCGATGAAGCCCTGAAGTTTCCGCCCTTTACCAACAACCTGAACTGGCCTTGCTGTCTTACAGGAGGAACTGCACTTGGCTGGCGTCTTCACGAGTGAGTCGTAGAATGTGTTTGGGTTGTTCCGAGTTGCCGCTACTACCGTCAGGGTTCTCTTTGCGCGTGAGGAAGTTGAATCGACACGTCTGGATAATCTGTTTGAGACCGGCACTCGCTCCTCCGGTCGAAGATGGCGCGCCTCCATTCGCACTTTCCTTCAATGCTGCCAGTTTGTGTTCTTTGAGACAGGACTGGTGCATCTTGAGCATACCACCGAACAGACCAGCATTGCCGCTGTTCCACCACCGGACGCTACCGTCACGAGCTGCATACGACACCAAAACTTGTCCATCAGAGCGGAAGCGAACAGCCGAGACGGCCGAGGTGTGGCCGTCCAGGACGCGCCATTTCGTGGCCGTACGTAGGTCGTAGATGACGATCACTGCCTCCATTGTACCTAACGCCAAGCGCTGCGTTTCCTTGTGGAAGTCAACCATGGGGAACCGCCGAACCAGACTGTGTAGACAGCGAGTACTCAGCGGTAGACACCGTCGACGTCGCTCTGGTTTTGTGGGATCCAGACACGCCATGATCGTGTCTACGAACGCCGGAAGATGCCGGCACATGAGCAGGTAGTGCGTATTAATCAGCTCCATCATGTACAGCAAGATACTTTCATGGAAACCGGGTGGCCGGTCGTGATTGTGCATCTCTTGCTGTAGTAATCCGAGGACGAACGCCGACTCATAGGCTCCAACCTCCACTAACAGACTCATGGCCGCATTACTCCCACCAGTTCCACCTTCGTTAAAGTCGGATAGAGAGCCTCCTGGGCCGGGTGGAACACATTCACTGTCGTCACTCTGACTGCGCTGTTTCTCACGCATATCAACCAACAAGAGCTGCACTATAAGCGATGATAAATCCACGAGATGGGGTCGGAATAACATCAGGCCCTTCGTAAGCAGCTCAGCCGATACAGAAGCCACGAATCGTTCCGGTGCTTTGAGTAGGAATACCAGTACATCACACACTTCACGCGCACTGGCCGGTGAGATCTCACCAGGAAAATACGTGCCAATCATACTCATCAGAAGCACAAGTGAGCCCAGTCTTTCAACCACTAGAGAGAAGGACATCGCGGTTGAGTCGTTGGCTGCACTGGCACTACCACCACCCCCGTTTGCACTATTCCCACTTGGTTGAGCACTCGAACTTGCGCCGCCACTGGCTCCAACGCTGCCCACCGTTCCGAGGAAAGAGCTTCCCGTCTCGGTCTCCAAACGCACCATTTCCCAATGAAGTTTTGCGGAGTATTCGGCAGATAATATACTTTTCTCGGCTGGAGGAAGACGCTTGATCACTCCACTTAATAGAGTACGGGCCGCTAGTTGCGTGTACTCACACGAGTCGAACCCGAATGCTGCAAGTTCCTCTAGCGCTGGTTCTCGGAACTGCGCGACGCTCTCTGGAAGTACAACGGAGTGCTGCGTGATCAGTTGACTCCACAGAACTTGGAACTCTTCCTTGTTTGCAGGCGACGTGCTACCGTTGCCAGATCTGGAATGCTTATACTCCATGCAGCTCATACAGAGCGATACGACCCCAAGCGCTATGCTAGCGGACAGCGCTGACGAGTGCTGCCAATTCCGAGCGAACGCAGGCACTGAATCTCGAACTTCAGCCTCAATAACGGCAGCTGATGGTCGTGTAGTCCATGGAACTGGAATAGTCAACGCCCCCGAAATGAAGTCTTGCAGTGCACACGAGTAGAGCGCATGTGCTGGCTCTATGCCTAAGATTGTCTGACATGATTGATCAATAGCAGGAGTGACACCCCACGACAGCAGTAAGGACAGCATGAACAACTCCATCGAGCCCGTCGCATACACTGAAGGCAGATCGTTCTCACGGATAATGACGGCCGTATCACTGTTCTGACGGATTGATGAATAGTAACTTGTCCAGTTCTTCTTGAGCTGTTCAGCACTTCGAAGGATGGCGAACTCGATGAGTTGTACGGCTGCACTGCCGATAAACAACGTGGAGTTCTCAGCGAGTGAACAACCGACAGTGTCCGATCCGACTGTAGTCTTTTCAACTGACGCATTGCCTCCCCCGTAGAGTAGTGCACATGGAACTATACGCTCCAGAATGCCAGTGTCGATACTCCATACGTACACCATCCGATCTTCGCATTCGACGTGAAGCAGTCCACGGTCCAGATGCCACTCCAGGTTGCAGATTCTGTCTCCATGCTCCGCCAACTCTAATACGCACTCCCACTCGACACTACAGCAGTCTGTCGGTCGACTTGAGCTGGGTATCGAGTACTGAGGTGCATAAATTACAATTTTGCGATCTATCCCCACTGTTGCAACCAATCTGTCAGGATGTTCAGTGTCCAAATCCTCTCCGTCATCGCCCATAGCTCCTCTCTTAAGCGGTGAAACACTGATCTGCTGGATGGGTCCGCGATGGTTGTGAAACTTTTGCAACAATCTTGCTGCGTGCTGGACCAATCCGTTTGAACGGTAGAGAACTAGCTCGATCACTCGGAGAACGCCGTCCGTGCCGCCGCTAAACACGAAGAAGTTAATCGAAGGATGAGGATTACTTGGAGGAACTCGGATAAACCCATTGTTCGACGCAGAATCGCTCGATGTGTCTATCGTTAGCAAATTTCGAGGGGTGCGTTCTCCGCTGTGATGCCGATTTTGTCCTAACGAGTGATCACGAAAGCGCGACTTGTAGAACGGATTTCGCTCCGTTGCGACGTATGTCTCTTCCATGGAGGATTGGCTTGTGTTGTTAGCTGCTGAGGGAGAGATTGAAGAAGCCCCACTGCCCCAAAAGCAGTGCGCAAGCGCCGTTATTCGTCCTGAGTGGCACGACAGTAGTGTTACTGCATTTCCTTCTGTGTCTCCACTTTTACTCGGCAAGTGCTCTTGACTTAGCAATCCAATGTGTAGCATTCCATCTGAGAATCCTTTGGCGATAGTAGGTATATCCAGCAAGTATCGATAGGATAAGAGATCTGCTTTTCGTTGTTCGCTTACATCATCGTCAGGCTGTCTGGACTCGCCTCCAACACCTCGTGCTCCTCGTACCGTAATAGGCGCCAATGCAGTGGCTAATACATTAACGTTATTTGCCATTACCGCGGCCGCAGTACTTGTAATTGATCCTCCACTTCCACTATTCAAACTTGTTGGTCCATCGTTAAGTTGCTGACGCTTCCGACGCATTCCAGCTCGTCTAACCACTTCATACGTCGATGATGTTTGGGTGTCATTCCGTCCAAGTATAAAATGCGTTAAGAAACCACGGTGTTGTGAAGACAGACACGCTTCACCTCCCTGCGCAGCAATCGCAGCGGCTTCAAATCCATCCGTTAGAGAGTGAAAACGCACCCGTTCTGCTAGTGCCACTCTAGGGACAACAATATTATCCACGTTCAATATCTTGCGTATTGATGACATCCGTCCGGCTGACATCGTCCAGAGTCCAAGCGTTCCTCGGCGGCACATGTGTACTATCTCCACTATTGAATTCGAAGAGCCAGTCTTCATACAGACTGTATATCCTGGATGCTGTTGTCGTCCCGTCAGCAAAGACATCGCCTTCTTCGGCTTTGTTTGCTTACTTTTGTCATCACAGCAATTGCATCGATCCATTGAAGTAACATACATAGCCTTGTCAATTACACGCAGCATTTTTGAGTCGGATCGTGGCACCAATTGATCTTGATCTTTCGTAAAGATGAAAAACTTCCCAGCATTTTTTGTCGAAGCATCGGTTGTCGAAAACTGGAAAACGTGGCCCGTATTGGTCCACAAAATGACATTTCCGTCTTCCAAGAACTCGCCATTCTCCCAGTACGCAGTTCCACTACTGCACGAAGTAAGCCACTTGTTACTGTAAGTTGTAGCTGCCTGTCGTACAAACTCTGACGGCGTAATACGGCAGGTCCCAACGACAGTATTGGGTCTTGGCTTTCCGAATGGTTTAGTGCTTGGTTGATTGTCACTGCTTATCTCTAATGGACACAACCAATTCCGCTTGAGTATAGCGAACCTGGTCTTCCAGATGAGAAGCACGCATGAGGAATCCGGAGAAACGTGCACAGATAACGGGAAATAGCTGCTCTTGATCGAGCCCATAAGAGCAGTCTGCGGGTTCATATTGTCTCCGTCCTTCAGCGATGTGCTCTGGGAACAAGTGATATCCTCCGCTTCGTCCGCCCATGAGATCACCCAGCTATTACGTTGTACCCAGCGGAATCCCCACGCCACACTCGCCGAGCCGCCGCCTTCACTGACACCAAACGGTGTTCCACTTGTAGCACCTCGAGGTTGAGTCCACAGAAAACACTTGACGAGTCCCTCTGCTCCCAGCGAAAGCACCACTGCATCCCATCGATGTTCTGCAGCTCCATTGGGCGATAAAAACGTAGCAATTCGTCTCGTATCTGGCGATCCAGCTGTCATTGACTGTCTTCCACCTGCTGACGGACTGTCAGTCATTATCTGCTCATTTGGCGGTCTGTAGCCTGTTTCAATCCCTCCACTACTCGATCGAATCAGTTTGGTCCTCGCTGACTTCGGCTGTGGCATTCGCAGCTCCCCAACTGCGATACTGCGTCGGATCTGTTCCTGCGCAGTGTCCATACAATACAGAAGCTGCATTCTCCACGTATCCAGCACCATAAGTCTCGATTCCTCACTCACTACTACTGCAAATCGTCTGTTTCCCAGCATCTCGAGGCCCAAGAGCGGTGTCAATTCTTTAGCTAGAGACGCGTTAGCTTCTGCACAGGCCCCATTGGGTAGCTGCCATTTCGCTATTGCGCCGTCCCTCGTGGCTGAGATCAACGTGCTCTGTCCCCACTCATCTGTCCCACTCACGATGCCTACAACGGGGTATCCATCACCGTCAATGCCGGGAAAGACGAGTAAGTTGACTTGTGCTACAGTGTCCACCTCGAATCTCCAGTAGAGGACAAGACCGTCCACTGTGCCTGCAAATACACATAATTGGGTGCGAGTGGATTCGTCGTTGGTCGTCTCTCTGTCCTCCTCGGTGGCGAAGATGGACGAGTTCTGGCTTGGCTGGGAGATAGGGAGCTGGGGGACGTGTAAGGAGGACACTTCCACTTGCGGTGGCTCGTTCCAGAGCACGAGAGGGACAACTACGTCCTTTCCTGTAGCATGAAGCTGACGGACATCTCGAGCTTCCACTTGTGTCCTCCAGGATGCGGTCTTCCGCACCATATGGATGCTAGTGGATAGCTACCTGAAGACAACGGATTACGTCACCTACAGAGCGATTTAGAAATCCAACAGCGACGAATAAGGTAGATAAGTCGATAGAATATCGGGCGCTATGGATTAAATGCAGCAAGAGAGCGCGGGGGGTGCACTGAGAAGGACGCGGATCTGCCTCCAAGCTGCTTGAAGCGACGCTGTGCGGCTCACTTTGTGTGAGGATGAAGGTGGTAGCGTAATAGCTCGTATAAGTACGAAATTGTTTTGAACGAATTATATTTTTTAAATAATTTGTTCAAAACTAAACAATTTAAAAAGATAAATAACTTTATAATATTTTTAATTTCTAATAGTATAGTTTATTATTGGCATTATTAATAACTTGACAAGTTGAAATTCAACTCGATGAAGAGACTACAGCGAAGATTGATCGATGGATCGAGCGGATTCTCTTGACCTTAACCACAGCAAAAGACACTTAGCCATCCCTTTGTCCATGGAACTTCGGGACTCTCACTTTCGGTTTTCCTGTCTCCAGCTCAAGTCATCTCAGTCTTCATTGCAACAACCAACACAATCATTATGACGACTCGCCTCGCACTCGCAATTACCGCAATCGCCTTCACCAACGGCTACGCTCTCGCGCAAGGACCTCGTGGTCCTGTACGTATGGGCCCCATGCCGCGTGGTCGTGAGCAATTCGGTGCTGCTGGTGGTAGCGGCAATGGCTTTGGAGGTGGAATGAGTGGTTTGGGCGGAGGTGCTAACGGATTCGGTGGAGGAATGGGCGGCTTCGGAGGTGGTGCCGGCGCGGGTGGTCTTGGTCAGTTCGGCGGAGGGGCTAGCGGTTTTAACCAGGTTGGTAATAATGCTGGCGGTGGCTTTGGTCAACTCAGTGGTGGATTTGGGGCCGGCAACCAACTTGGTTTCGGCGGAGGTATGGGCGGCTTAGGAGGTGTTGCGGCAGGCAACGGTGCTGCAATCGGTCGAGCTGGCACGACTACCAATGGATTTATGGCTGGTGCAGGTGGTGTCGGTGCTCCGAGTGCTGGGGTGGTAGGTGCGGCGGGAGCAGGACCAGTCAACGGTGGAGCTGCCAACGCCGGGCCTGTTAACGGTGGAGCTGCCAATGGCAGACCCACCAACGGCGGCGGGCCTGTGACGCCCGCTCCGACGAGGCCAAATGGCGGACCAGTTCGCAATGGCCCCGGGGCTCCTCAAGGTGGAGCTGGTGTTGGCGATGCTGGTACCGGTGCCGATGCCGGTCCTGCTGGTAACGGAGCTGGTGCAGGTGGTTTTGCTGGTCCTGGTGCTGCTGGCGCAGGAGGTTTTGCCGGTGCTGGTGGGCTGGCTGGAGCTGGTGGCATTGGACGTGGTCAGTTCGGAGGACTCGGTGGCCAATTTGGCGGTGGCATGGGCGGAATTAACGGGCGCTTCGGTGGCAACGGTCTTGGCGGCTTCGGTGGAATGAACGGCGGTGCTGGAGCGGGTGGTTTCGGCGGTCCTGGTGGCGTCGGAGGAATGAACGGTGGTGCTTTCGGCGCCGGAGGGTTTGGTGCCGGTGGTAATCCGTAGTGGAATCCTACGAGCCTCTTTTTTTTCTACACTAGTTGAAAATACTGCAAAGTAATTGATCAGTAGTTTCATGTATGTTTTGCCTTGACCAGTCGCAATTTGAAAGGTAGACTCCCTCTAGCCGAGATTGAGGATATCTGCTCTATTTTTACTTTGTTCTTCCTGTGTTGTCTTCAGCCAAAACTTTTGACGAACCGAGGGCGAGAGCTTGACGATCATATGGTGAGAGGTCACTGCATCTCCCGAGTGAACAATTGTGAAGGCGCTCCATCCGAATTACCCTACGTTTCATTCATTGTAAGGCAAAATACTGGTTTCGCTTACTACAATCTACTGTGCATGACCTGTAGGCTAGGTTATTGAGAGTGAGAGGGCATTGTGCATCGCACCAAGAAGCGTATCCCTTTACGTGTAATTCTTGTCATGGCTGAGCGTCCTTTTTCCTGAATGTAAAAAGCAAAAGGAGTTTTTCTTTGTTTAAAAAAAAAAAAAAAAGCGTTTATCGCCAGGCTTTTAGCCACTGAGAACTGTCTTGGAATGTTCGTGCCGTTTTAACATGATCCCGCATTATCTGATACCGTGTTTCACAGGATTGGAGGTTCTAACGACCGTCTGATTCACAATTGGAATTTCGGCAACGCAGTGACCTCATGGCTCCGCATCGCGAGGACGTCGCCGCCGTCAAGGGCTCGGCTCACCGCGACGCTGATGAGGAAGCGCTCCAGGCGGCACTTCAGGAGTCTCTCGAGTACATTCTGCACTAGAAAGTTCATACTAAAACGCGTTCAAACCCAGTCTAAACGATCGTTTGAATGTACTTTAGACCCGATTTTATGGCCGAAATCCTGCAGTCCGAAGACCAGCAACGTCGCCAAGAACAAGCACGGGCTCAAATAGCTCAATTGCGACTTGGAACGAGCTCAAACGACCATAAACCGGTGGAGAAACGGCAAGAAGAGGACAGTGGAGACGACGATGAGGTCGACACAGCCCATTACAGTCGAGTTCCCAGCACTGTAGCACCGACAAAGCCCCAAGAATCCGAAGAAGACGATGAGGAAGAAGAAGAGAACCCTAATGAAGACCACAAGCTCCTGAACTTTGCCGACATTCTGCTCATCGACATCCTCAAATGGCTCGACGAAGATACCATCGGAGCCTGCACGTGCTCGTGCAAGAGATTGCTGCAGGTAGCACGATCAGAGGTGCTCTTTGAGTCGCTTTGTCGACGTATCTTCCCCATACAGAACCCGAGAGCAGCCGCCGCCGCTGCTCGCAATAAATTCGGGTTACGTCGCTTCCCCACGTGGTTCGACATGTTCCACGACAGACCACGTGTGCGCTACAACGGGTTCTATTGGCTCAAGGTTTCGTACTATAAGAAACCGGAGCTCAGTATGTGGACGGAGATCGTACCGGGAACGATCTTGAAGTGCATTTACTACCGCTACTTCTCGTTTCAGCGGGACGGGACGGTGCTGTACGGCATGCTGTTTAAGGCTCCGCATGAGGTTGAGTCGCACATCCGCAGCCAACGTAAGGGTGTCTACACTGGCCGATTCTACGTTGATAAAGACGAGTTGGTCGTGACGGTGCCGACCAACTGCAACGAAGTCAACTTTCGACTGAAGATCACGCAACGCGAGCGTGGCAAGAACGTCAAGTTGGTGCTGAAAGAACACTTTGCCAACTCGGAGCCGGACGGCAGCGGATGGGTCAACTACTACGACACTGCTGACGAGGAATTCTACTACTATCGCTCCTGGAACCTTTGAGTCATAGGGGAAATTTAAGGGGTTGTCTGGATAGATTTAGCTGCATGTATGTGAATATTAGTGAGAATAGCGTTTAACTGCTGAACGTTGCAGTGGCAGTAGGGGTAACGCGTTCTCGCTATGAATAGCGAGGCCGTCGGAGTGGAAAATGCTCATCTTTTTATTAAGTAAGGTAACGAAGAGAAAACCTGTAAGTCATGGCTCCGATTGTGGCGTCTAAGACGGCTTCCGATCGTGGCAACAATGCTAAGACTGACAAGAGGGAGGATAGTAACAACAGTAGCCGCAGTAGCAGCAGAAGTGGCAGTCGCTCGAGTCAAGCTCGAGCCAGCAACTCCAGAGAGAAATCACGGTCATCAACACCCACGAGCAATTCCAACCAGAGGAAAACGGAGCCATCGAAGCGCACGACAACCCCGTCCTCGGCCAAGTCGTTAACGCGTGCTGCATCCCCAGCTACGCAACAAGTGGAGAAGAAAACTACGATTGCGTATCCGTTGCCATCTTCTACGTTGCACAAGCATAAACAAGCCTCAGTTTTTACCTCTGGAAAAAAGAAACACAAAACGTAAGCGTGTTGGTTTGTATGTTTTGTTATTTATTAGCAATAACTAAGGATCTTAGTGGCATGACAGCAATTTTTCCAGTGCATACGACGCTGGGTCGATTCCATGCCGGATCAACCATGGAAGTATCCGCAATTCTCTGCAATGGACAAAGGATCCCAACAGTAAGTACTGTAGACTTCCAACACACTTAAGTATTATTATTTTACTTAACGATTTTTTTTTTATAAAACTCTCTTTTTGCCTACTTCCCAGCCTTGTCGTACGACCCGCTACTGATCACGTGCACTGAGGGATTCTTGGAGACTGAGCACCCGTTTGTGTTCCTCGCACGCGCTACATTTCGCGAGCTTTTGAAACTGGAAGATGCTCGTGAGAAGACGCTCCCGATTCTTGGTCAAGTAATCGTGCCGTTACGAGGAGCTCTTATGGCCAAGGATGACGACACGTTCCTCATGGGATTGGAGGCGACGCGTCTGCTGTCGGATCTTGTGGAGGGTGAGATGAACATTTACCTCCCGAAGCTCACCCAGCAGATCCACCGCAAACTCCTGACCAAGCAATTGCGTGTCGAAGTTGAGGACACGCTTGCTGTTCTAGAGAGTAATGGTGGCAGGGAGGCACTCGCTATCATTCGCTCGAAGATCCCTACGTACGTCTCGATCCGCTAGTTGTGGCCAATTGCTCTAGTGTAGCAGTCGTACCTTTCGTTTCAGATGCCAAGACGTTCTAAATATCAAGTTTGATTTCATCAAGCAACAATTGAAATGGGGCTTACTAATGCTACTCGTGGGTTCCAACTGAACTGTGGGCAAAATGATGTTGGTCTATTGAGAGCCTCGTGAAGAAACACCCACGAGAAAACCAGCCAGGTGTGCAGAATCCGGAACACTTGAAGTGAGTCGCGGACTATGTCAATTGTAGGTTACGACAATCGTCCTGCTTTGACAGAACGGGCGCAATTGTTGTCCAACAGAGCTTAACGTGGAGACAGCGAGGGCGTCTAAACTTGAAGCCCGGAGCTGCATTTTATCCGAAAAAAAACATTTTGGTAGTATCTTTAGATGGAAAATAAGCAAGATCTTAACACGAGGGGATCGTGAGCAAGTCTCAAGCTAGCGATCCCGAGCAGCGGAAGATGAAGACTTTTGTGGTTTACTTTACTTCAACTGACACAAGTGTGTCCAGGGTAACTGTCACTTTTGCCACTTAACACATCGTGTCGCTTGCACGATTCTGGTGAGATGAGTTCCTTTGCGCTGAACTACCAAGGGCTGAGTCCAATGTGCGCAAACTTGATGTTCTCGCTTGTGGATGATATCTTTCTCGGCATCCGAAGCCTTTATCCAATGAGTCCCTGGCCACTCGTATATTTTCACATTCAGAAGTAGATCATGAGGTCTGGGCCTCTATGGGCACTACGCAGTGCCAACATGACAATCAACGCACAGATCAACAGACACGCGTGGGCCGGCTGGCTCTTCGTCTACATAGCGGAGCTCATCTTCTTCTCGACGTATCGACTGAGCAACCTCAGTGCTCTCGTTAAGGCCTCAACGACTCCAGACAACGACACGACTCCGATACGGATCTATGGAGTACTATTGGGTATCGTGCAGGACTTCGTGGTGATAAGCTTCTTAATTCTCGTGCTCTCTTTCTTCGACGCGGCGATCAATCACTCGTGTTGCAATGACACAGCACCGCATGGATGCACCGACTGCTTCACACGGGGCATCCCGTTCTGGTCGCGAACTAAGCTCGTGTTCAAGCGGTTGTTACGGTTTTCAGTGGTTTATTCTGCGTGTTTGCTGTCTGTCTCGATTTTTGCGATGGATGTCGTGACTGTACGAAGTTACCATCGCCAATACGAGTTCAGTTGGAACTCGAAGGATGAAGAGTTGATTGGTACGAAGGAACAGGAAGCCAGAACTGCAATCAATGTACTCGTTGAAGTGCTGGTAACGCAGGGAATTATTGCGGTTGTGACTGCAGGTTGGTTTGATCTCGCAAGATGGACACCATTAGGATTTGCAACGAGGTGGAATGGTATGAACAGTCGAGGTCCAGGACACCCCACGGTGAACACAAGACCTCCTGTCACTTATCTCGCAATGGACTCGAACGATTTCTTCGACTCCGACGAAGATTTAAACTCGTTTTTCGATTCCAGCAATCACCCGATACGCGGCACCCAGCGACCACAATCACCGGCAATCCTGTCGGAGGATAGACGCGATCTACCTCCGTCAAACTGCAAGGTTGTTGTGTTTGGCTTCGGGCTCGCAGTCGTAAGTTTCATCATCACTCCGTTACTCGTGCTCCTAATAACGAGCTATTGCCCCCCTGCCGTAGCGAGCATAGCGCTCAACTCCAATCTCAATGAACCGATTCGCAGTATCACGACGCTTTCGTTCGTACCAAGCTGATCGATTCGACTCACCTTGAAAACAATCGCATGTACATTAGACTATTATCTAGACCAGAAATATATATCAATATAAAATTCTTGAACTCGCCAGGTTCTTTAAGTGCAGTGTCACGAGTCACACTACCATGACCTGTTCTCCGATTGCTAGTCCGTAATATCTGTTGAAAGCTTCGATATCATCGTGTTCGGATCGACACAGATACAAACTGCGCTCGAAATGATGCATTAGCGGTGGTTGTACGTAGTGAAAAGCCACGCTGTCCGGTGCAGCACTGTCTAATAGTGAGCGCACGCCTCCAACTGTGTTGTGATACTTTACATACCAAAAGTCCGGGTCATCATACGTAGGGAATAAAAACTGTGGAGGGAACGCATGCCAGCGCTCACGACCACGATGATCTCGCGTATCCCAAGGATATACATCGTTCCACATCATACAAAATGCCACGCCGGTATCCTCCGCTATCGTGGCACTAGCTTCGTCCGGTAGACACGTCCACTCGGGCAGGGATTCGACAAATTTGTCCAAGTACAGTCGATTCATCATGTACCCCGCACCTCCAGAGTTGTAGACCATGCGGTCGAACCGTGAATGCCAAAGCGATCGTAGGGTCTCATTTTTTATGTAAAAATCGAGAATATTCATGGGCATATTGAAACGGTGACCCATATGCATCGGCTCTCGATTGAATCGCTGTAAAATCTCCGGTCTCTTGAGGTAAGCTCGCATATTCTCCATGATCACGTACGTGTCGTCGTCGCACTTGTAGAACCAGTCGTAGTCGTGCCGGAAATTATCATACAAATACTTTAGAGCAGCTCTGGTCCGCAGCCACAGATGGGCGTGGTCAGCGATGATATCAAGTTGCACGACGTCGAATCGGCGCTCTGCTGGTGTATCTGCGGCCACGATAATCGTATCGCTCATGTTGCTGAAGAAGAGGAGCTTGTCACAACGTTGCCCCCACGTCTCCGCCACAGCTCGAACTCTGGTCTGATGCTGAGCCGAGTAGCTGACCGCGAAGCAGAGGATGCGAGGGTAGACAGTCTCGTGGTGGTATAGCGCCGGCTCCGGCGTTACTTCGATCATTTCGAGCACTTGTCGAGCACTTTCACGATCGAAGGCACAGAGTTCCTCTTTCGACAGCGCAGGACCCGATAAACCTGCTGCGAGCGAGGTAAACACGGTGACAACGAGAACGAGAACGAGACGGAGTCTGGGCGTCATGATATGTAGGGGGATATAGCGAACTGGATGGAGAGGCGTGCTACGCGACCCTGCAATTTCATGGACGTAGGTCCGGAATGCGTACTGGACTTCCATTAAAATGAATTCGAATGCTTAGTATTAATTAACACAATTTAATTACTTCCGTTACAGATTTCCTAACAAACGCTAACTATTCCTAGCTAACTCTGTCGATTCTCGCCGTAACCCGAGATAAAATTTGGTAGCAACGGTAGAGTCAGTGGTGGATTGCACTCACCGACAGAGATCCTGCGCACACAAATCGCAAGACGTTGAAAGCTGCGTTGACGTCTCGACCCGCAACGTGTTCACAACGGGGGCACGAAAATACATCTCTACTACCGAGTCTCAAGTGAAGCTTGGAGCATCGACCGCACGTTTGGCTAGAGTACATCTCTGAGCAAACGACCAGTGACTTGCCCATGAGTTCGCACTTTGCCTGCAAGAGCTTCCGAAACTGAAAGTGTTTGAGGCCCAGGAGCAGTCGGTTGAACGTGTGGTTACGCGCGCTGCTTTTTTTCACCATGTCCTTCGAGTTGAAGACTGGGAGAATAATCGTGTCATAGTGCTTGGTCAAGTACGCACTCGTTTGATAGTGCATCTCCTTCACGCAGTTGTTCAGTTTGGCGGTGGCGCAGTGGAACGCTCGCTTGGCTCTCGCGAACGCTCGCCACTGCCTTCCTGAACGATGGCCTTGGAAGTTCTTGATTGTTGACATCTCTTGTTGCGCGTTTTGGATTCGGGCTCGGTATTTATCCAAGTGTTCTTTGTTCCCGCGGCCGATGTGAAGCGCGTTTCCTTCAAGGTCGACCCCGGTCATGAATGCTTTCATTCCCGGATCCAGCGCTATCGTTCTACCACGGTTCACATAGTCGCCCGGTCGAACGTACTGCGGAATGATCGCGTACCAAAAGCCATTAGTGTTCATGATCTGGATTTCGTTAGCAATTTCGATGCTTCGGTCGCACCGAATCGGGATGTCCTTCAACTTTGATATCGACAACATTGCTCTTGGCGCGCCGTCCATGTATGTGATCTTGGCATTTCCGGCATCCTCGCAGAACGTAAAGTAACGTCCGTCTTTCTTTCGACTCTTGAACTGGATCTTGAACTTACTTATGTTTCCGTTTTCCAGGTTACTAAAAGCACTCATCACACCACTTTCAAACTTGCGAAGAGCATTAAACCGAAAGTTTTTCGGTGTTTCAAACGCCCACTGTGGCGGAGGTTCCATGCCTTCTGGATACATACTCGCGCTTCTTCTTGGACTTTTTCGTGACGTAGAGATCCCTCAATGTTTGTGCATTCGACACATTGGTCTCTCGAAAATGCGCGACGGCTTGGTTGTAGGTCCAGCGACACGTGCCCATGAACTGCTGAAGTTTTTTTCGTTGTTTTGCAGTCGGGAAGAGTTTGTACTTGCGCATACGTCGGATCATCAGCTTGTCCTTTGAACTCATTTCTTTGCGCAACGCAGAGGTAGACTCAATGTCATCTGTGTGAGTTTCAGCATCGCACTTTAGAATGTTGATCGTGCTCGTGAGATTCGAAACTTCTTGTGTTCGCTCGGTCTTGGTGTCGAAAGCGTCAAGTTTGTGATTGCGATCCATTTCTTTCGTTGACCATTTGCTAATATGGTCGAAGTCCCCGAGCTCTTGCAGCGACAGCGGACGACAGACTGCATTTGCTTGCGTTTCAAATCGGAACCACGGGGCCGGGTTCAGTACGTCTTCTGCCTGACCCGGCGTTTCGAGTCTTGAGCCGTCAAAAACTTCGGCGAGACGACGGGTGCGTTCGTCGGACAGTCTGGCCAAGAGCGGGCGGTATTCGCGGACGTGCCCGCACAACACGTGAGCTGCAATGCTAGCAAGCATACTGTCGATGTTGTTGTCTAGGAGAAGGTCTTCTTTTGTAAACGTTTGTAGAGATTGCAAGTTAGTCTCCAAATCACTTGCGTGTGTATTGGAACTCTGCAGCAACGCCATCCACCCAATCTTCTTCCAGCACATCACGACACACAATCGGATGTCCAAACAGAACTTCAGGTCGCTGGAGTGCACGAAGATCAACACGCGCACTTGCTGCATGGCCTCTCGTATGCGATCACGCAGTACGGACCAGGCTGCTCATCGGCGTCGCTGGAGCTTGCGTGGAGGAGAGAGGCAAAAGCTCGCGCTTGGTGGTGGTGTCTCCATCGCGGCAAAATGGAAAGTGAGCTCACTGATGACCATGAGTGCTTGAAGTGCAACTTCTGTAAAAAAAAATATGGAGAAACGTAATTACGTATTGTAGACTCTGTGGTTAGGCTAAGCTCGACAAGAATTTCTTTATCAACAAACAGTCTCCATAGACATTGATGCCCAATCTGCTATTGAACACTTCGAAACTCCTCTTGACGGTACCACAGTAATTAAACCAAGAGAAATGAACTTAGGTGTGGGTACAGTTATTGGGGTATGCTAGACATCGATGGCTACTGATGATTTACCATTTTTGTGGCTTGAACGGAGAGACTTGCTCAAGCTCTCCTCAAACAAAATATTATCCGCGCTGGAGAGGATGCTTTCGATGCATATATCGATCACTGACATGATTGAAACAAGCAGGTCGCTTGCATCATTCTCTCCAGCCGCCATTTAAATTTGAGACTGACACACCAACGTGACAAGCGATTCCAAGCCACCGGACGGACATCGTGCAACAGTCAGCCACATCGCATCCTGGTGTTTAATGCGAGCGTTTAATTACTTCCTCTGGCTGAAAATGATCGTGATCAAATGCATGTTGATTGGCCAAAACTCAGACAAAACAAAGGCTAATTGGCCCAAAATAAAGCTCTGCATATCTGCTATGGATTATTGGCAACCGCAACGCAATCCAGCATCTGTAACCTACCTGATCGACGGCCAGACAAGCTACCTGCTATATTCTTTTTTTTCCGCTGCGTGTTGACTACCCTAGACAAAGCTATTTGAAGACGGATGCCATCAAACTGTGGGCAAGTTTCTAAAGCGAATCGAGGACGGCGACATGTTTCGTGATACCCATGCTAGCATCGAGAATAACTTCAGCAGTTCTGACGCCACTATTTAGAGGTTGCTACAGAGCTTTCGTGAAATGGTGGCCGTAGGCATTCTTTGCGGGTTGAGGACCCAGACCAAGCATTATTCGGGCAGGAAGAGGCAGCATTGCGATACGAACGCGCGCAGCGGGTTACCGCTCCACTGTAAAAGAACTGAAGGACATCCTGTTACAATGTATGGAATATACCCACTATCATTGCGTTTTCAGCCAGAGGAAGTACAAAGCATTCGAAAAAAACTAAGCATTCCGTCCTTCTAGAATGATCTTACTTTTGATGCGATCTACTGACACGAACGCCTTACAAGTCACTGATCGGTGGCAACTTGCTTTTCCAATTGGAATTGAGCGCCTCGTACCCCTCCTTGTAATTCATCCACAGTGTGTACCTAGGTTTGTTGCCAGATCTTGCACTCCATCGTTTGTTTTTGGTGCCAAGCTTCAGCAACGCAAAGAGCATGTCGGGGTCGATACCCTTACCCATTATTTCTCGTGTAATCTTTTCGGAGTACACGTATGATGCCTGCATCTTCAGGTTTGCTAGAAGCTTCTTGTTGCGAACCCAGTTGCCCACCTTCTTGATTACATCCAAGGCTGCTCTCTCTTCGTCGTCTGTAGAGGTCTTCGAATTTGCAAGAAGAACTCGTCCACTGTCAGTTTCCACTTCGGCATGGGTAGATCGTAACTTGATGGCAGAGCCCGAGGCAGTGTTGGTGCTGACGAGAAGAGTAGCTACCGCCAGTAGCAGGATGAAGTAGGCTCGCATTGCTCGGTGTGTTTGGCTTGTTCTTTGCTGAGCAAATTGTGAACTGTAAAGTCAGAAAAACTGGTGAGCTGAATTGCGCGTTGGCATTCCCCACATCACATGATTGTACTTATTCAAATCCCACGAAAGGCAAACGCAATTGTGCGATGCCGCCAATGTGCGAAACATCGTACTTAAAGCGCATCGTTTACAGGAATGGACGTGTCTTGTGTGTAGTGTGTGTTTTACTATGAAGTATCTCCATTTTGCTCGTCTGCATATAACACCATGTGAGCTCTTTATTTATCTGTTCGCTCCGGCCAAAGGAACATTGAGGTAATGCCCCGCCCCATGAGAGGCACGCGATATAGTTTTCACCGTGTATTAGCTTGTGTGTTAAAAGTACCGTGCTTGTACCAGGCGATCCCATCCTGGGATATATATGCGTCTTAGGTGATATGTCCCTCCTCTTATTTGTGTTTTGCTTTGCATGGCATCCATCCTACAGGAGCTTTCGATAATGACACGTGCTCCAGACTGGGAGCCATCTGAAGTCCTTCGTAAGGGTGAAAAGGTCATTATTAAAGACCAAATAAGGGTTATTACTGTATATAGACTAAAAGTAGCGCGCCAGCTCGAAAATGCAACAACGCTGCTTCCTTCTCCGTTGTTCGGATTGGAGGACTGGGTAGCCTCTGCACTAGTGCCCAGACCACAGCACCCGCCCAACACTCGCTGGCAACTCTTGCCAAAGCCGCAAATCGGCTGTTTTATGAGCCCAGTGTGGCCACTCTCTTTGCTAATCTCTACAAACATAAGTTTTATTTTGCATTTCGGCATATTAAGGGTCAGTATCGCAATTATTATACCTAGAGATCACGAAAAACACGTGGATTAACCTCAAAAAGGAAAGTCAGGTGTTTTTCCTAAGGAGCTCCGATTGGTGGGAGTCCCAGCCAAGGAAAAACGGGAAAGGACCGTGATTCAGTTTAGGGATTGACGGGACACCGTCCAAATTCCAGTACCATAATAAATGAACGAAGGAGGAGCGGCGCTCCGAGCGCAATCGATCGTTTATGGAAAACCGAATCTGCGTAACGCAGTCTTTTATATTTTTAAGCACAGTACTTCACAACACAACATTCTTCGCCCTACAATACTGGAAGATTTTCCAGCGTTATAGACTTCGCAAAAGAGTTGGAGCACGCTAATGGACATTTTCGGTATACTGTACCCTGTGTTTAGCGGTGGCTTCCAGTATTATTGTTCTGGTCTTCTGGAATAAGACGAAAAGGACAACCTATTGCTTTCCAGAGCCCGGTCTTCACGTGTCCAAGAGGTTTTCAGCCTCGATTTATATTGTTGAACAAGTTTACGTCGCGCGTGAGTCCTAACACAACAATCAAACTGCACATAAATTGTCCAAGCTCTTCAATACCTAATCCGGAAATGTAGAGCTGCTCACAACGTGTTGTACCCTAAAAATCTGTCGGAGCGGAAGGAGGGGGGGAAGTGAAAATCTATCGGAATCTGTCAGGTGGACGAGTGGCCAGATTGGCCGTTCTTTGGCCATTTAGCCAAAATCTGTCCAAAATCTAGACCGACAAATCCTACGGGTATCGGTCCATTAACGATCAGTGCACATCTTGTTTAAAAATAACGGTCGTTGCAAACTTGTGGTCGTCGACAGCACAACTTTCTCAACGTCCACCGTCAAAGTCGAGACGTCGCGGGCACTCGACCGATGTGGGCTCAAGCAAGTTGACAGACAATCAGACAGTTGGCACCACGAAGAAAGCGGGAATACAATGCATTGCATGTATTCAATACTTGTTTAGGTCTTATTGAGAAGTTGATCGTAGCAGTGGATAAGACAAAACTCTCGCGACATACCTGAAATTTTAAGACAATGAACACAAATCTGGCACAAACTCTACCAGCAGAGTAATGAACCTGAGCGAGTGTACACGGTGTTGATGCTAGGATAAGCCTAAACATCAGTACGGTATTACTGACGCGCTATCCACCGATGAGTTCAATCTTTTTCCAACGAAGAATAGTCCGATTGGGTTAGCAGGCTACAAAAAAGTTAATCATTAGTCTGTAATACTTGCTAGGTACTAAAACTCTACTGCATACAGGAGTCAATCAGGGCTATATAACGGGTAGCCGAACCGGACCGCCTTGGAAAATTCGGCTAACCGTGACTGGCCTAGTAAAAATACAACTGCCAAGTAAGCGAAATTAAAGTGATCATCTATGTGCGTCAGTGTGCGCTAATGTTAATAGTACTTCCTCTTGATTGGAAATAAATGCAACAAAGCTAGAAGTGATGGGACAGTGCACGGAGACAGCTCGGACTTCTACGAGTCGCGGGGGTCTGCTATCGTCCAATGCGTCGACAAATCCAGACCGCTGCTAGGGTTCATTCACCAAAAACTTCAATTTTGCACGGATACAGACGTGGATTGGTTTAAAAGAAGCGTCTCGATCTCAGCTTTCTTGTGATACTTAAGTACGCGTTTTGCGCAATAATTCGATGTTCAAGCCAAAGGCACAGAGTCTGTGGCTCATTAATTGAGGATTTTTCGATTTCCCCCTTTTAGCTTATTATCGGGACCAGAATGTGAAAGATTCTACATAGGACTTGCCATTTTTAGCGAGGAGGTTTTAATATAGGTATTGTGAGGGAAATGGGTCTATTTTCCCTCAATTAATGAGGCCTAGCACAGACTAAAGACTAACGTCAACTCGGTTCCGGGTGAAAGCACGGCTTTGTTTCACTATGTTCTTCCTGATGTGTCTGAAGCTATATTGGCTCGACTCCGGAATTGATTTAGAATGTAATCCTAGAATGATATGATTGCTACTGTAGCTACAATTCATCATCAATTGATTGTTACTATAATTGTCCGATATTTACATATTAATAAAAAAAATCAATTATTTTTGGAAAACATTTAGTTCAATCATGCTCTACAACTGTGTGCTCTAAAACGTATACAGTCCCATCATTGGCACAAAAACAGCCAGAATAGAAACTGTAACAATGGTTGTCATTGGTTCAAAAGCAGCCAAAAATAGCAAGTTATAAAGGTTCTGATTTGCTGCAAATTGACAACACCGACACGTCAGCCTTCTACCCGCGTCCTCATCGCCAAGAAGTACGTCGTTATGGCGCCTACGTGCGTCCGTCACAGGGCTGCACAGTCCCCCGTACTGCGCCCACAAATCCTCCCGCATCTTGTCCTTCTCCTCCAGGTTTTACAGCTCTGGACACTCATCCCTTCGTCCTCGGCGAGCTCAGACTTCTTGCCCCCTCCTCCCCCTGTCACGAACCTCTCCAAGGCCGATCTCTGCGCTCTAGACATCGATCGCTCTCGCTATGCGTTGGACCTAATCAAAGTCACACCGGAGCATGCACCAGTGCAAAAGTCCCAGAAAAATGCCGTTTATCCCAAGATTTTCTGCTTCGTGAACACGATTTCAGTGCACCACAAGACCCGCGCGCAGTCCGTGGCCGAGACCTGGGGCCAGCGCTGCGATAAACTCATGTTCTTCAGCAATACAACGGACACTATTGTGGTGGCGGTAGGCACAGATAAAGAGCAACGCTACGAAGTCATCAAGATGGACGTCATAGCTGACCATAACCATCTGTGGCAGAAGCACAAGGCCACACTACGCTACGTACACGAGCACTTCCGACACGACTACGACTGGTTCTACAAAGCTGACGATGACGCGTACGTTATTATGGAGAATCTACGGCATTATCTTCGGAGACCGGAGATCATGCAGACGTGCAAGCGAGAGCCAATGCAGATGGGACACAGGTTTAATCTGACGCAGGACTTGGTGAGTTATTACATCGTGGACGACTCGCTGGAGTCCATTTGGAGGTCGAGATGGGAGCGATGGGTATTTAATTCTGGAGGTCCAGGGTACGTCATGAATCGACTGTATATGGACAAGATCGTGAGTATCTTGCCCGACTGGACGTGTCTGTCCGACAGACACAGTGAGATGCTGCCGGATGATGCGTCCATCTCGTTCTGTATGATGTGGCACGACGTGTTCCCGTGGGATACACGAGACCATCAAGGACGCGAGCGGTGGCATGCGGATAAAGCGAAAGGAGTGTACTTCACCAACCCGAATCGAGTGAACTACTGGTATGTGCAGTATCATCAGCATATTGGCGGCGTGCGGTGGAAAGAAGAAGGTGCTGCACCTGACAGTGTGGCGTTCCATTACATCAGTCCACCGCTCATGTATCATTTAGAACGCACCTTTTACTTGTGTCGAGAAGGAGACGATGTGCCTGATGTCACTGCATTTAACGAGAAGTACGGTCTCGCAATTGGCGATGATGTCATGGTGTACCAAGACGTGCCACAGAAGAAACCCGCCAACGCCCCACTAGCCACAGGAGTTCCAGGACAGACACAAGGAGCTTGAGTTCTCTTGAGTGAGTTGCTTTTTATTTACTAGAAACCTGCTCGTATACTGTGTGCTCTTCTATCGTAACCTCTCGTCATTAGGCACCGAAGAGAGTCTGCGTGTCTAGATTCGGGTTCTGTGCTTGTTGCCACTTGATCTGGTTCTCGAATTCCCTACTGGGGATCACCAGTTTCTCCGGAATGTCGAGAACTTTCTTCACTGACGCGCTCGTGTTACCCAAAATTCCTGCTAGTGGCGACGAAGAGCCAGCTTGTTCCCGTCGAATTGCCAAGATCGGCATCTCCAGAAGCTCCTTGAACGCGTTCTTCTGTGTTTTCATGCTGTGTTTCTCACGTAGCAGAGTGTCAAGTGCCTCCACCTGTCCAGGTGTCACGTCCGGGAGCGATAATAAAATCTCACGAGGAGCGGAGCACAGTGACGACGCGGGACGAAGTGGCTGGTTGCACGGGTCGATACCTTTGCACTCTTCCACTGGGATCAAACCAAGTGTTAGTCTGCAGTAAATGTTGCGTGCCAAGTTGATAATCTCCCACTTAAGTCCGTCTTCCTTGACGTGGCCGACATGTTCGCGTAGAACTCCTTGAAGCGCAGCGGAGAAGAGGTCGCGACCGAGAAGACCATGATACTTGCTGTCGGCGTGCAGTACGTTAACCAGCTTGTCACCGAGAGCCACCGCCTTCCGACAGCTCAACGTATCTTTCCAGCAAATCACTTGGACTAACACTGCGCCGATAGCAAACGGCAACGAAACAGACTGCGTCAAAATATAGTCCCGAAGCACGGCATCTTCTGGACTTGTGACGTGTTTCGGGTTGTCTGTGTCGGTCCCCACGACGGTCTTTGGGTCGATGGCGTACTCGATAAAGTCAACAACTTGGCGCGTCAGCTCCATGACCATTTTCTCGCGCGCAATCTCCTGCTTGGCGTCTTCAATGCCAACAACCAGAGCGCTCCAAGGCGTTTGTACGGGTTTATCTCCATTTGTTGAGCGTTGAAAAATTGCAGTCGCACGTTGAGCAAAGTGCCCGATCAACGCCGAAAGTACGGGATCAAGTAGCGAAGGGTATAGCTCTCTAGGGCAATTCTTCAGGAACGGCAAGTACACGTAAGCCAGCGCTCCTTTCAAGTGTCGATGCTCCATCACATCCAAGTTGCTGAGCATACTGTTCTGCAGTACGGAAGCCACCTGAGGGTTCTGATAAAAGCTGGTTTGGCCCACTGCTACGCCCATTAAATGATACGAGATATCCCGCACGTTCTTGTGCCACTTGGACCACTTGGAAGTGGCCGGTAACTTGGCCACCTCTTCTTCTTCCAGTTGGTTTTTGCCTCCTAGCAACTGAGCAACTTCATCCACCGAGACGCTGAGCAACCAGCAGGCGTTGGAGGTTTTCAACACCACATCTTTCACTGCTGGTTCCTGGAGGCCATGAAGCGAGCGAATAAGCGCCAACAAGTTCGGCAACAAGTGAGGCCACGCGCCTTCGAATGCTCCCGAGTTTTCTGTGGGTTTTGGAGAAAAAGTCACTCCTGCGCGCTTGGCAATGCCGTACAACGTCGTGAGTGTTTTGATAATCATTCCAAGCAGTTTCTTCGACTTGTCGTCGGCATTAGCAGCTTCGATAGCGGTCACAATGTTCTGCGGAGAGCTCACAAGCGCCGTCATTTCGGGAGAAATCCACTTCGACAAAGGGTCCTGAACAATCTGCTGTACGAACTGCACACGCTCGTCTCTGTTCTCCATCGAATTCGACACCAACACGAGCATTTCATACAGCATCACACCTTCCGTATCAGTCACACGATCGGCGGCAAACAACTCCTGAGCCTTCGTACACAGCACTGGGAGGACTGGCAAAATATGAGCAGGGATCGCTTGACAGATGGAAACTAGAGATGCCAACGCTCGCCTTCGAACGTTGATGGTGCCACTGCTCATCTTCCCGTGCACGTCTTCGCCAGCCATGACGAAGTTGATGTTGGCGAAGAGCATCTCGAAGACAGCTGTAAGTGTACTGCCATCCAGTACATAATACTTGGCGAACGATGCCAGTACGAGAAGCTGACGGAATTTAAGCAGCGGGTCGAGAGTACCGTATGATAGAATCGCCTGTAGTATCGCATGTAAAGCCTGGCGGTTCGTGGGGTTTTCCATCGCATTGGCGGGTAATTGCTTGACAATGCAGTCAATTAGAGACGAAATACCTTCGTGGTACAGATAAGCAGTACTGAGATCAGTGCAGAACCTGCGATCGGTGCTCAGATGGTCCGTTCCTGCTCTGTACTGCGAGAGTACGAATACCAGACGATCATGTAAAGACTGCAGCACAATAGTTGGGTTCAGCTGCACCAATACACGAATCAAAGCGTACAGACGTCCCCTGAAATTCCCATAGTACGAAATGTACTCGCTATGGTCGTCGAACTCTTGTCTGCTGCAGTCGCAAGCAGCTTCGTGTGCCCCTGGATTCTCACGTTCAGGCGAGCCAAGCTTGAAGTATTTGTCGAACGAAACCTGTCGTAACTGATCCAAAATATCCGCTAGAAAAGCTTCGCCTTGCTTCAAGATCGTCTTGTTCTTCAGTACCGTCAGCCACAGAATAATCTGCGCTTCCGTCACGATCAAACTCGGATGGGCGAATAGTTTGCACAAATTACTGAGAATCACACGCAGCAGCGCCATCTCCTGGTCTCCTGGTCCATCTAAAAGCAGTGTATCCAGCTGGCACGTCCCCCACGTCACTAACATGTCGTTTATCTTCTTGTGGAAGAGTAAATTCGCCTCTAGATCGGGCTCCAGCGTCGTCAAATCCAGTGTGTTGACCTTCTCGATAATCTGACTGATACTCTGCAGCATAATCGCTCGGTTCTCCTTGCCAAAGCCTCTGGTCATATATACCTCCAAGCACTCAGCTCCAGCCACTCTAAACTCCTTCTCCTCCAGTAGCAATACGGCGACTATAATAAAGTTCGTGGCAGGGTCCACAGGTCGCTCCAGCGGCATCCACTCGAGAAACTCCTTGAGCATATCCAGCGCCGCATGGATGAGTCTCTGGCTCCTGTTTTTCTGCATTGGAGACGACGTTGCTGCTTTGTAAGTTGCATATTGTTTCTCCAATTCCTGGTAAACTACGGGAAACAGCTGTGGCAAACACACATTTAATCCTTGTAGGATATCTTTCCTCCTTGCAGGAGGAATCGACGTGTTGAATGAACTACTGACGCAATCCTCAGCTAAAGATCGAAGAATTAGCAGCACAAGCTCCACTTGTCTGCTGCTGCCAGCCTGCCATACTTGTAGTAATTCTGGTAGTAAGTCGGGCCAGCGTTGAGGAAATTGACGCTTGGCGATTTGAGCCAATAGCGAGACTTTCTTCTCTTTAACAAACACAGGGTCGTCGGCGTCGTCGGGCTGGTTCTCTCGTAGTAGCAACGCCACGAGCTCCACGCGCATTTTTTGCTGCTCTTCGACTGGTAAAGAGCTCCATCTGGTCAGCACGTAGTGCTCCAGTACGTGCAGCGCAAAGTGTTGGCGAGTATGGAGCTCTAATGAATCGCCTCCACCGGGGCTTTGATATAGCGCTACGGCGTACAGTGCGCAGTCCGAGCGGCTCTTGAACTCCTCACAGAAAGCATAGGCAGCTTGGCGGTCGCTGGCGGACGCTAGAGGCGAGTGACTCGCCTGCACAGCTAGCAGAACTTGCTGGTACAGCTGTGGGTCCATGGATGGAATTGTGGAACTTTTGGCTCGAATGGCTGGAGATTTGTACTGATTCGATTGGTTGAAAAGGCAATTGTGAGAACGATCGGCATGGTACCAGAAGATTGGTACATGTTGAAGCGAAAAATTACGTGACCAATGCGCGAACGCTCATAAGCAAAGCAACAATCTGTGCAGCGACTATCTCAACGAAAACTCTTCTGAAAGCGTACGTTGCTGTCCCAAGGACAAATACTTGTAAAGTAGGAATATTGCATTGAGTTTTACCGAAGTTAAGCGTAGCGCGTGGCGTCGGGGGTGAGTGCCTCACCGTAGTCGCCTGTGGGGGTTTTGTCATCAGTGGTTTTGACGTTCTCCTTGGGGGCCGGGGTGGTGCTGTAGCAGATGAGACCAATATACACAAGTGCCAGCGCCAGCCAGTACCATTTGTTGACGGCTTCGTCAAAGATAAGGTAGGAGACGGCGACAGTGAAGATCGGACCCGTGAGCAGACTGAGGTTAAACATGAGCGACTCGGCCCAGCGCAAGAAGACGGACGTAATGGTGTAGAAGACGAAGAGCACACACACGTAGCCTGCCATGTAGCCGTATACGCGACCGGTAAAGTCGACAGCCTCGATGGGACTGCGCTCGAGGATCAACACTTGGATAATGGACACGATCGACGCCCAGAAGCCCAGAAAGCCCAGCACTTCGATGTTCGAGTCCACATTGCGCGTCTTGACCACCGCTTGGATCATCACGTTGGACGTGGCGTAGAACGCGGCGGCGATGAGTGCGTACATGTCGCCACGCACCTCACGACTGCTGGTTCCGTTGGCAGACGACGTATAGTCCGACACGAAGATGACGATGGAGCCACATAGAGCGATCAATGCGCCTACGTAGTGACGGATGGAGTAGCGCGTCTTGAGGAACAGGTAGCAGAAGAGGGTCACGAACGGCACCGTCATGTTCAGGATGAGACTCAGCGTCGCATAGTTAGCGTAATTGTAAGCCTTGACGGCGAAGTAGTTGCCCTCCACATCGACGACGGCTAGGATGACGTAGAACCACCAGGGTACACCGACAAGCGGCGTCTTGCGCACGAAGCGGACGGTGAGGTAGACCACCCCCAGCATCACGTACAGACACGTGCTCTGCAGAGTAGGAAGACTGGCATTCTCGAGCGTCAGGTATTTCGACAGAATGCCCGACGCCACGTTGAGCAGCATGATAGCCTGGCCGAAGCCGAAGCAGATGAACTGGAACTTGGTGTCCTCCTTCATAATGCAGTTCTGAACTTGAAGTGGAGACTTTGGAACTGGCCGAGATATTCGAACGACCGGGGAGAAGCTCCAGGCGGCCGGAGTCGGTGGCAGGGAGCTGTCGGCGTTACGATTATACAAACGCTAAATGAGACCGCACAAAGATTTGCCAGCAGCACCGCAAGTACGAAACCAAGCGACGTCACTTGACGGTGATCGACCATAGAGTGTGGAAAGCATTCGACAATGTATTTTCTTGCTTTTAGTCGAAGATTTAAATGTATTCGTTCTACCTTTCGAGCCTACGTGCTCGAATAGGGCGGTAAAGTGTCTGGTGGTCCGAAGTCGCAGCTTCCAGGCTGGTAGCTCTTGATGTGCGTTGCGATCTGAGCCAGCGTGCAGCATGGACAGAAGAGGGAGGCGCAGCAGTCTCGACAGCATCCACCTGGGATTTGGAAGCGCTCACGAGTTAGCGCACGCGCCTTCCAGATCCAGATGAATAGGATCACATGCACTGTGCCGCCGGTCAGCAGCACGAGAGTGAACAGTGTGGCGAGCGCGCACCAATACGACGCCATCCCCAGGCGAGCTGTGATCTGCGCGTGCGTCACACACGGGCAGAAGGTGACCATGCAGCAGTTGGGTACGCAGTGCTTGAAGCAGCCACAGCACAAGGTCGTCTCCCATCCTCCGATCTTGATGTTGCCAACGCCATTGTCTCGAGCACGCGGGGATCCGTGATGATACCCCGTTGGTGTCACGGGGGGATCGACTTCGATAGCGTAAGGATGGTCATCCTCCTTGTAAGTTGGCGAAAGTGTCGGGGACTTGGTCATGGTTTCATTGTCTGCCGGTCTCGCCGGGGAATCGACTTCGATGGCGTAGGGGTGATCATATTCCTTCTGTGACGGCGACAGTGGCGGGGACTTGGTCATGGTCTCTGGACGATGTCGATCCTCTGGAGCGAATTCGATTGTGGTGCCGGCAGATACTTGTGGGCTAATGGGCGACTTTGAGCATGTCCACTTCAACATCTTTCTTTGTTGAGACACTATGAGGCGCCCCATCCGCGGAAGCCACGATATATGGATACTTATGTAATGTTTTCATTCGCTTAGATGAGATGCCTGCATTATATCTTGAGTCTCTTAAGCCTACTTGTAAGCTGGAAGTGTGTCTGGCGGTCCGAAGTCGCAGCTTCCTGGCTTGTAGCTCTTGACGTGCGTAGCGATCTGAGTGAGTGTGCAGCAAGGGCACCAAAAGGACGCGCAGTAGTCCTCACAACACCCGCCGGGGATTTTGAAGCGCTCTCTGGTCATCTGGCGTAGCTGCCAGATCCACACGAAGAGAACTACATGCGCGAAACCGCAAGTAAACGCGAACAGCAGCACGAAAGTGAGCAGAGCGCACGTGTACGTCGTCATACCCAGACGAGCTGAAATCTGCGCTACTGAAATACAGGGGCAGAAGGTTGCCATGAGGCAGTTGGGAACGCAGTGCGTACAGCACCCACAGAGCTGAGCTTCCCATTTGCCGAGCAAGATGCCGGATGGATCCCTGTCGATCTTCGTTTCTTCAACTGGAATGGCTACCACAACTTGTGCTGGGTTTGCGTTGGGTTTGGCGATATCGTCAACAGGAACAGCATACGGCGTCTCCATCGTCTGCCTGTGTTAGCTTCTCTCGCGCTGCAAATGCACACAGTGGTTTATAGTGATACAAATAGAGTTCTGGGAAGAGGATAAGCATTTGCATTTTATTCAAGGTTTAGTTAGCGCTCAAGATAATGTTTGTCTATCTTGGAGGGGGTGGTGTTTTTCTAAGCGCGCTGGTACGGGGCCAGAGTGTCTTGGGGTCCAAAAGCGCAGCTTCCAGGCTTGTAACTCTTGATGTGCGTGGCCATCTGAGCCATGGCACAGCACGTGCAGCAGCATGAGGCCAAACAGTCTCCACAACACCCGCCTGGAATCTGGAAGCGCTCTCGCACCTCCTTGCGAGCCATCCAGATCCACACAGCAAAGAGAATGGATCCGACGCTGGGAAAGATGACCAGCAGGATAGATACTAGAATGGCAAACTTGAACGGCATCATGCCGAGACGTGACGAAATTTGCGCCAACGTGACGCAGGGGCAGCACGAGGTCATGAGACAGTTGGGTACGCAGTGCGTGAAGCAGTCACAGAGACCGACCTCCCATTTTCCCGTCGTGAACTCACTAGATGATGTCTTGGCGTTAGCTGGGTCAGCCTTGGGTTCCTCCACCGCGACAGCGTAGGGCTTCCCAGCTTCCAGGTCAGCCATCTTGGGTTCTGGTTTCCTAGCTTGTGAATCGCAAAATGAGGCTGCAGTGGTTAGTTAGCCTAGTTGAGCTAAACCTAGAATCAAGCACTTGCTTGTCACTTGCACCACTGCGGACGAAACTACTCCTTTTGGACACCCGCTAAGCCGTTTCTCGATGAGAATGAGCGATGTCAGGGCGAGAAACATGGTTTCGTGCAAGAATAGCGTTGATCAAGGTTGTACTTTTAAATATTCCATTCAAAAGTGAAGTTGAGGATGAAGCATACGATTATGTATTGTGAGTGCAAATATTCAACTTCTTGTAACACTCGGCCCAACAAATTCCCATAAGAAATGGTCGTAAGGCGGCATCGTGTCCTTGGCCCCGAAATCACAGCTACCGGTTCGTAACTCTTGATGTGTGAGGCTATTTGAGCAATCGTACAGCATCCGCAACAAAACAATCTCCGCCGCAGCCACCCACCGAACATCTCGCGCCATGCAAAGCCAAATGGCAGGTCCCACACCTCCGGTGAAGACGAACAACAATGTGTAAAGTAGCAGAGCAGTAGCCCATCATACCAAACCTAACTGAATTCTGGGCCATGGCAACGCACAGGCAGCGAGCTGTCATGAGGCAGTTAGGTACGCAGTGCGTGCCACAGTCTCACAGGTTCATCTCCCTTTTCTGGTAGTGAACTGGTTCCTTTCTTGTCAGTCAAAATCGTGATGCTGTGATGCTTGTTCTTGTCTGTGTTGGCCATCTTGTGTGTCGAACCAAGCGAATTGCATTACCGCAATGGAAGATGTTACTGAAGCATCAAAAGCTAACCATCAAGGAATTGCTACATGTCCTGCGAAATCATTCAACAGAGATTGCTATGACTTGTATTATATTGTTGGCTAAAACTTCGACGAGGAATCATGAGAAGTGAATACCTCATCAACTAAAATACGTATGGTACCTCCGTCAAACCATGACGCATGCATATCCGCACGATATCGCGTTGATGTAGTTTATCAGTTTGTGCGCGTCTGCAAACCTCAAGCGTCTCCCTGGACGCTGCTGCGGCGATTACTGTTCTACCTGCTGGTGTCGGCTAAAATTCTTGGGGGAATGCCTTTCAAGCCTAGATAGGCTGCTAGCCGAGAGTTGGATTGACGTTCGTACCTGACAGACATCGCTTTTTGTTTAAATGTGACGACAAGTGCCTCCACCATGCACCTTTTTCACTCCAGGTTTATGGCAGAAATGATCACGTCACGATGACCTCTGGGCAAACCTTATGCTCGAGCACACAACGACGAACACCAATACAGCAGATACCTACACTACCTATTATAATAAGCCTGACGAGTTCTTGCTAGATATTAACCTCAGAGCACCGAGATCACTGCTACGGGGCTGAACGCGTTCACACCGTCGGCACTGACGCACAAAGCAGCATTGCTGCGGGTGTCACTTTTGAGTTTTAAGTACGTACGCCGCGAAGATGCAGCTGGCGCCACGTCGCCGGGTACAACGATGCCTACGCCCTGGTTGATTTCCGCCGTAGCGTACAACTACTACACAGACCTGTCGACTTAATCAGTGAAGACAGAACAGATGAGGAAAAATGGATTGATCATTGACGTATTTCAATATACAGTAAGGAGTCCTCTTCGCCCTATGCTCACCTCCAGATTTGCAGCTTCTTTAAGCTCGACATAAGGTCCCGCTTTACGAGCGGTTGTACGCTGGTAGCGTGTCCTGGGATAGGAAGTCACAGCTTCCGGGTTTGTAGCTCTTGATGTGCGTCGCCAGCTGCGCCATTGCACAGCATCCACAGCAGAAGGCAGCGCAATAGTCTCCACAGCAGCTTCCAGGGATCTGGAAACGCTCGCGGGTCTTGGTACGCGCCTGCCACAGCCATATCGCGCCGGCGATGGCACCAATCCCTCCTGTGAAAACGTAGAGCAAGACGAAGAGCACCAACGCCAGCGAGTACTCCATCATGCCGAGTCGCGCCGAGATTTGGGCGAGCGAAACGCACGGGCAGCACGTGACCATGAGGCAGTTGGGCACACAGTGCGTGAAGCAAGCGCAGAAACCAACCTCCCACTTGCCCACCGTAATACCGAGATTGTTGTTGCCCTTGGGATCATCGATATGGATGGCATAGGCTTGCTCCGCTTCAGCCATAATGTTACGTTGATCGCTGATTGATGATGAGGTTTTGCGCTGCAGCTTGCGAGTTGAGAAATGAAAGGGGTGAAGTCGTAGGTGACCATTCAAGGTAAAGGACTGCTAATGCGATGCTGAACGGCACTGGGTACATTCACACGACACCTTGCCTTAGTATAGTTACGAGCTTGTTATTGATAGTATAGTTACGAGCTTGTTATTGATTCTAGACACATTGAAAAGTATGGAAAGAGATCTTCAACATACACATGAAACCCGAAAGGCGGAAACTTAAGTCGCCTGATATCGTTGGAGTACGACAACGCGTTTGGGTTGGAAAGAGGTTAATTTGGCGACTCTTACCTAGGTTCGTACTATAAAGGGCTGGCTCGATTGTAACCACGTTATCTCGCTAATGCTGATGATACGCGGGCAGCGTATCCGCTTGTGGTGGTCCAAAACTGCAGCTACCAGGCGTATAGCTCTGCGCTTGCGTGGCAGTTTGAGCCAGAGTGCAGCATGGACACCACAGCGATGACCAACAGTCTTCGCACCAATTGCCGCGGATCTGGAACTGACTACGTGTCTCCGCGCGAAGCTGCCAGACTGTAACGGAGAAGAGTACGTAGCAGACTGCGGCGAGAATGAGGTAGATGTACCACGTGTCATCCTCACCCCAGTGATGATACTTGTACTTGATATACCCCCACACGACCGAGTCGCTCGTGATGATGACTGAAACTTGGTTGATAAATAGCGCCAGCATCACGTACTGCCCCACCACCACCACGAGCGACGAAAAGAGCGCGATCCAGTATGGGGTCAGCCTGAACTTGGCCGAAAACTTTTCCATAACCTCGAGCTTCGACGCGACTTGAGCAACCGAAACGCACGGGCAGAACGTGACCATTGCGCAGTTCGGGATGGGGTGGGTGAAGCAGCCGAACAAACCGGTGCTCCACGTTCCTAAGGAGTTGTCAATGCCTGAAGTACCGGGAGCTGTAGTGTCGACATGCGCAGCATACGGGACGCTATCAGACCCACCTGAGCGATTCGACTTGACGTAGTGTTCGTCCATGTTTGATGTTAGTGCTAGGATGGAGATTGGCAAGTGAGAAAGGAGCGATATACACCTTAGCGGTGCCGAGAAATTAGGATAGAGATTCATCATGTCATCACTTTGAATCGATGAGACCGAGCTACTTCGTGGTTTTAGCCATCGATTGTAGCTGCACGTGGTGGCTGTTGATATTCACTTCGAGACACCCACGATTTCGGACCACTTCAACTTTTTGCTACCACTCAACAACTTCAAGATTTACTACTGTACCACTCAAAAATGTATATTTTAACGAAACTAAACATACTCCCGATCGCAAGATCTACTGAATGTAAGGAGGCAGCGTGGTCGCCACCTGACCAAACTCACAGCTCCCGGGGTTGTAACTCTTGATGTGAGTTGCCATTTGAGCGAGAGCGCAGCAGGAGCAGCAAAACCCAGCGAAGAAGTCGTTGCGAGAACTTCCGGGGATCTGGAATCGCTCGCGAGTCGTCTTGCGCAGGTGCATCACGAACAGAGCAAACAGCACGTGGACCATGATCATGACCCCGCGGTACACGATAACAGCAGTCCCAGAATCGCTGCTAGTCGAATATGTGTACGACGTCCCATCACTGGTATAGTCCGTCTCGACTGTGTAGCTGGTTGAAGCTGCACTCGCCGCGATGCCGCTAACCACGAACTCAGCGATGATGATCACCAAGCAGGTGATGAGGGCCTTCGAGTACGTGGTCACTCCAAGCCGCGCTGAAATCTGAGCCACCGAGACGCACGAGCAGAACGTGACCATGAAGCAATTGGGCATGAGAGTCGTGAAGCAGTCCCAAAAACCGACTTGCCACTGCCCCCTTGTCAACCCATCATCGCTCTCGAGATCCTTCATGGCGCTCGGCTTGGTTGCCTGAGCTGTAGCGTTCTGCTGTTCCCAGTACGGGACTTCCGCGGGCGCCGCCGGTGTCTGAGTGCTCAGAGTGCTCAGAGCTGGGTCCATGGTAATAGTGGAAGCTTGGAAGGTGAGGACGGAGGGACACGAGCTCCGTAGAAAATCGGGAAATGGCGACTGTTATCTGCTGGTGGTCCGGGCTGCTTTCATTTCAGCGCAAAGTGTGTTATAGAGCAATCCAGGAATCTTTTACCGCATCGTATGTTAGCGCAGCAAACATTGCGCGACAGCAACGCGAATGTGATAAGACAGCGAAACTCTGGTCATTGCTTGATTCGGTACGTGCGGCACATGTGCTTCAAGACGGGATAGACTGTCGAGCGACGACGAATAAGGTTTATCGCTGTACATTGTACGATATTTGTGTAGCAGTTGGCAGAGACTCTTGGTCTACAGATAACCTGGGTATATGATACCCAAACGGCGCTAGAAAATTATACGATTGTGTGAATACATCTCCTGGCAGCACATACAGTACAGCACCATGCATTGCATTGCATGGAATGTTGCAACTTGCACCAAGTATGAAAGGTTAGATGGCTTGCATATTTGCGACCGTCGAGAACAAATGAGTCAATGAAAGGACAGCCTTCGAAATCTAATTTATGTAGTCATTTGAAATGACTACATAAATTAGATTTCGAAGGCTGTCCTTTCATTATAAACGATGGGAGGTCCTTACTGATTCGGCAGTCTCTACGACGTAGGTTGTGTTGGCGTCCCCATGTATGGTGGTAGCACATCCGGCGGCCCAAAGCTGCAGTCACCCGGTTTGTAGCTCTTGATGTGTGTGGCAATCTGCGCCATTGTGCAGCAGGAGCAGCAGAACGATGCCCAGCAATCATCGCACGGGCTTCCTGGAATCCGGAACATCCGGCGAGTGGTTTGACGTAAGTGCCAAATGTACACGAAAAAAATCGCTCTCACAACGGTGACAGTCCATGATTGCACTGAATTGCTATCGCTTTCGTGGTCGTCCGAGTATTCTCTAGTTGTTGACGTTGAACTGTACCACCAGCCTGCATCGGTGCTTGAAGAGGACGAGTACAGACCAGCTATAACCTCAGCAAGAGTAAGCAGTAAGAAGATCACCAATACGCGTCGATACGGGGCAGCACCCAAGCGCTCGGAGATCTGGGCCAGCGAAATGCACGGGCAGAACGTCACCATGCAGCAGTTTGGGATCATGATATCGCAGCAGCCCCAGAAATCGACCGACCACGCGCCGACCATCACGCCGTGCTCGTTCACTGCGGCCTGACGCGTCTGAGGCGCATTCTCGACGTACACCACTGTCTGAACTGGCGCTGCATACACGGTCGGGTAGGCATGCGTTTCCTGCGCCGGCGGAGGCTTCTGGAAGTCTGCCATGTTAGCCCTGGACTATAAGCCACGAAGTGATCCCGTGCAGGTAAAAACTGAGTCAGCTAACGTTATTTCCGTCATGGCAATTTTTGCACAACATTGTAGCTGCAGCTCTAAATATAATCCAGGAAATCCACAAATCAGTACGATATATCCTTAACCTGGAAGTCAATAGGATCGGAATATATTCTGTGCAACGGCACTTAGGTGAACGGAATGCTGGAGTCCAGTGGCTGGTGGGTTTACACAGCGTACGATTTGCCAGGGTAGGCCTGGAGGACATCGGGGGCTCCGAACGAGCAGTCACCCGGCTGGTAGCAGCGGACGTGAGTTCGTAGCTGAGCTACAGTGCAGCATGAACAAAACCACGAGCTGAGGCAGTCGGTCACTGCGTTGCCCGGGAGCTGGAAGCGCGTGCGCGTCTTGACACGAAGCTGCCAGATGTAGACGAACAGCAACATCTGCACGATCAGAGTGATGATCACGAAGGTGACGTTGACCACCTTGTCATCCGAGTCGTGGAGGTGCGTCCAGCGATAACTGTAGTACTCGTCGCTCGAGTCGTCGTCATGTTCGCCCGTGGTCCAAACGAGCGTGAACATTGTGAGCTCCACTACTATCACGAACAGCAGAAGACTCAGCACCACTCTGTAAGAGGCGATGCCCAAGCGCGTGGACAGCTGCGCCAGTGCCACACATGGGCAGAAAGTGACCATGAAGCAGTTGGGCATGAGATTATCACAGCAGTCGAAGAGTCCAGCGGCCCATGCGCCTGTGGGGATACCGTCGCCAGCGACGACTTCGACGGTACGCGGCGTATCCAGTTCCATCGCTATCGAGGGCGACGGCAAGTGGTTCACCTTGCTCACTTGCATCGGCGCCAGCTCGCCAGGTGTCGTCACCTGCGTGAACTGCGCTCGAGTTGACTGGGGATCCATGTCCTGCATTGTTGCGAAGGGTACGAGGGCAACTAGGAGAATCTGCGAATGAAATTTGCACGTCAGGCTCCACAGAATGGCAACCCTGTTGATGGAGTCGCACGCCAGCACATCATGGTAGATCGTTGCAGCTTGATACCCAATCTGAAAATTTCTTCACTGGCCAATCAGCGCCTGCTGTTCGACGATAGCTTCATCAATTTGGCTTACTGTGTGGTCACTTCAACGTGCCAGTGAGTCCAGAATCTAGACTGGTGGCGGAAATGAACGCAATGGAAAAACGGTCTAGAAACGTTTGGTCTGCAACGGCCACATTGTTTAACACACTGGATTATCCGGCAACTTCTACCTACACACACATGAGCGGCTCATTGGTACTAATATCCATAGCGCTCGCTGCCACCGTCGAAATTTTGCCGAGCCGAGTAACCTGCGCTGGACGTTGAGTTCGGTATGGAGTTCGCATTGGCATGGGCTCCATCGCTGCCAGGAGGAGTAACCGCATTGGAATGGTCCACCTCACTGGTAACAGGCGCGGCCCCGCTGTCGAAGAGACCGTCGTTCAGTGCCATGCGAACCGGCGGCTTGCGTTTGTACGTGTAGCCAATGAACTTGTTGAACGTCAGAGGTTTACCGTCCGGGCCGAACGCTTGCGGCAACTCACCATTGGTCTGACCTGCTGCATCGGATGCAGTCGGGCCATTGCCACGGCCTGGGACGTTGATCGGTGCTGCAGGAGGAACGTGACCCGACGACTGAACTGGCGGCGGCGCAGGCAACTCGCAGGGCTCCGTGAATTCGTCGAAGTTCGATGTAATCTGGCGCACGAGTTCCTGATACTGTGGCCCACACTCCTCCGGGTTGTTCGCCTGCAGCTGGTTCAGCACATAGTCGAACTGCGGACCGCCTCCAGGCGGAATATACGGCGCTCGAATGGAGCGCAGCGTCGACCAATCCACTCCGTTGAACCACGGATGGCGCTTGATCTCCTCCACGGAACCGGTTCCCAATCGGTTCTCGGCGTTGCAGATGAGTCTCCGGACAAAGTCCATGCACTGCGGACTAAGCCGCGCAATAGCTTCCGGAGGGAATCCGAACGACTGCTTCCAGTTGACGATCTTACGGCACGTCTGCACTGGTTCGTCCGCGTAGAACGGAGGATAGCCCACCAGACATTCGTACAGTATCACACCCATAGACCACCAGTCGCACTCCTTTCCATATCCTTTCTGTGCCAATACTTCCGGTGCAATGTAGTCCGGAGTACCCACTGTACTGAACGCCACCTGCCTGTTACGTGAGAAGGGTTTGCTGCGTGATGCGTCCACACTGTTGCCGCCACCTCCACCTCTTGTTGCCGCTGCAGCAGCGGCCGCAGCCGCTTGCTCAGGGTCCATAGCATGCTGCGAGACTGGCAATAAGTCCACTCGAGAGTCCATCTTCTTGCACAGCCCCAAGTCCGTGAGCTTTAAGTGTCCGTGCGCATCCAGCAGCACGTTATCCGGTTTCATGTCGCGATGGATGTAGCCCAGATCGTGCACGGACTGGATGGCCAGCACCATTTCCGCAGCGTAGAAGCGCGTGGTGGCTTCATTCAGCGTGTCCTCCTTCATCAACAGACCCATGAGGTCTCCACCAGGCAAGTATTCCATGACCATATACAGTCTATGGTCGTCCTGGAACGAGTAGTGCAGTGTGACGAGCCAGTTGTTGTCCTGGTCTGCACTGGCTAAGATGTCGCGCTCGGCCTTGACGTGGCCCACCTGATTCTTGAGCACCATAGCGCTCTTCTCGAGCGACTTGAGTGCAAAGATCTCGCCGCTGTCTCGCTTGCGAACGAGACGAACCTCTCCGAAGGCGCCGCGGCCGATAACGGCGAGCGGTTGGAAGTCTCCGACCGCCAGGCGCTTGCGTTGATGCCGCAGACTTTGCAGCTCCTTGGAACGGAGCTCCTGGCGGTACTGCTCCTTCTTGCGCTCCGTGAGGCGCAGCGCCGCCATCTGCTGCTCCAGCGTGTTGCGGCGCTCGCGACTCTCCTCGCGCTCGCGCTTCATGGTCGCATACTTCTGCTCCAGATAGGCCTTGGTGGCCTTGGCCTTCTCTCGCGTTGAGTTGGAGATCATGGCTGTCTGTTTGTTTCTGTCTGACTGCTTTGTTCGTAAGGTGCTTCGTCCGGATTGGTTAAAAAGAAGGGAGTTTTCAAGCGGGGCGTTTATAAGAAAACGGAGGTTGTTGCTGACGAAGCTTATTTTCTTCGCGGTACGACGTTGCTTCATGCCAGGAAAAACGGTCTGGAATGGAAGTCTCTTCACTCCATATGCATCTATCCTGCTGTTTGCAAGCGGCTGCCAGTCTTCGGAGAGCGGTTTGCGAATGCCTTTCACAAATCGATGCGAGTGTAGCCATGTCGATTTTCCTGTGGAAAAGCATATGTTACTCCCCAGGTGAAACACATACCGCCATCATCACCCAACTGTGAAGACGATGCTTTGGGTAAAACTTAAAACCTTAAAAAGACCTGCCGTATGTTGTGGTCTTTCAAAACGAATTCAGCAAATATCCAAAACATCCCACCGATTTAATTCCTGTCAATTGATCCCGCAGTTTTGACCTACAGGATGAAACATAAAAAGAGGGAAGCCGGGCCAATTGCTGCCATTCTCCCTCCGTGTGCCAAGTCTCATTCGCGTCTCGTGCGCACGAGCTTCTTGCGCTCATTGCAGCGCCACAACAGCTCGCCACACTTGCAGACAAGCACCAGCTGCATCTACTGCGTGTTTTCTCTTATTTGCACGCATGATTGCGACAGAGACGGTCGACCAGACGCCAGGCAAGGCCCGTGCCAAGCCTCGCGGCAACAAACCCGCATATTTTGAAGACGCCGATGACGCTGAAGAGCTAGAAACAATGAAAAAGGTCAAACGCAGGTGTGTAATGTCCTATTTAAGCGTGGAATTAGCACTAAAAAGCTCGGAATTTGCTCATTTTTGTGCTATTCCTTCGGTGCGTGTTGCAGACGCGGACCGCAGAAGCGGAGAGACGCCTTAGATGACGAGGACGACGAGCGCAAGTCATACAGCGAGATGGAGCAGCTCCCACTAGGTCCCGACGCTCTGCACTTGATGCAACATCTGCACGAAGGCCAGCGCTACGATCGCCAGCCGAGACTGTTGCCGGAGATCGACGGCGTCACGACTCTGACGCACCATGAGGCTCAGGTTGATATCAAGAGCATCCAGCAGCAACTCGCAGCGTTCGAAGCGCGGTCGGGGATTAAATTGCCCGGAGGACGCCCGAATGTTGGCGACAAGGACCATCGAAGACTGTTTCTGGTGGACGAGAACGACAGCGACGAAGACATGCCATTGGCTGCAACTCTAAAGAATCGTCGCTCTAGACCAAGCGGCATTATTGCACCAGAGGAGATTATTGAGACCTTACCGGCTGCTCGACGGGCTGTGCGTATCACGCAACGTGAGCTTCGAGCGATGAGGATTGAGCGTGAAGACCTCGAGAGGGCGTACGTGAGACATCGCTGCACGCTGCTATGGCAAGTAGGCCAGATGAAGCGCATGAAGAAGCAACATGATCGCGTAACGCGTGCGTTGAGTCGTGAAGTGGCGGAGACAGCGAAGGGCTTGGAGTCAAGTCGTCGTCGTACTAGTGCACTGCAGGACATTATGACAGAGCTTGACGCAAGAGGCAGCAGGATTTTGCGGCTCACCCGCGAGAAGAGCAGACTTGAAGCGATGCTGGAAGCGCAGGATATCGAACTCCCGGAGATCGACGAGGTGTGTGTCGGTGATCGTGTGAAATGTGCTCCATTCGGGACTGGTCGAGTGCTCGAGTTGCGTCTAGATACAAGACAATTGGTGGTAAAACTGGACTTTGGTGGCGTTGGATACATTCAAGAAGATAATGTGGAAGTGCTACCGTCGGATATGACGTATGCAGAGACTGAGGAAGAGCTGAAACAGCGATTCTTTGAGAAGATTGGCAAGCTGGTTCAGCCTGGTGGCAAGCTACGTATGCTCAGCGGAGCCGTGGAGTACCCGCTGGACGACAGTGATAAGGACTCGGATGGTGAAAGTGCAGAATCATCAGAAGAGGAATCAGAGGATGAGGCTACAGAGGAGACAAGTCAGCACAGAGGTAAGAAACGAAGACTCCTTATGACTGCGCCGCCGGGAGCGAATACGAAGAAGTCGAAGAACCGTCGAGTGATTGAGTTCCCGGCCTCCACGGTGCCGATCACTCCGTATGATACGGGACTGTTGATCAGTCCTCTGAGCGAACTACCAGAGCGTGTAGCTGCCGTTGGTCCGAATGCGCTCCAGTGGCTTCCATCGTATCTGCCTAAAAACATGGACGAGTGGGAGCAGGAGCGCTATAACTCGCTGCAAATGAAGGGCGAGATCGAGCGATTACGTTTCCAGTTACAAAAATCCGAAGGTAAGTCAAGTATTCTGTGGATGTTAGTCACATTTTGACTAACAAATGCTGGTGTTGTGTGCTGCAGCTCAGCGAATCGATGCGCAACAGCTTGCAAGTGATCAACTTGAGTCCATCAACCAGCTTGTGTCTCAATTGGACAAACTGAGAGAAAACGCTGGGCTGCCTCCTAGCAATGCACTAAACCCCGTCGACTGCTGTCCAACATGCGGCAGCCACAAGACCTCAAAGTATTCCTATCATGGTCGAGGTGGCAATCATCGGAAAGACTCGCAGCACGATGACAGTACGTTGACTTCTGGTACCTGTATCGGTGTACTAGTATCTGATAAATCCTTGGGTTTCTTTAGGCGATGACGAGCTCTCGGAGACCAATAGCAGAAGTTCTAGGACCGGAGACAACGATAGTGTGCATAGCGACTCGAAGAAGGCATCGAAGCGGAAACACAGTGCAGAGGACGAAGCCGGCAACGAGTCGAGTGATGCTGCACCTCCAAGGACCGGAGGTAGAGGACGAGGCAGAGGCAGGGGCCGAGGCAGAGGCAACATGAACCGCTCTCTTCGGCCGCGAAGGAAAGCTAGAACGACCGCTTCTCCTAAGCGCAAGTAGACCGTTTTGTAATAGTGAAGGAGTCCTAGTGCAAGTAAAAAACATTTTGTTTGTTTAAAACACGAAAAATGAAACCCGATCGATGAAAATGGATTGGGAGCAGGGAGAAAAAAAAATCGGCATAGGGTCCTAGTTTCTTACATGACCACGCAGCACGAGTTGGTCTTCTTGGCTTGTTTGTAAAAGACCTTGGACTGGCTGCTGAGATCCTGAGACTTGGACACGAGGTCGTCCAGTTTCTCACCGCGTTCCAGCACGTTGTCGATTGTCTTGGACAACACGGCCGTGGTCTCGTCTAGTTCCTTCTGGATTGCCGATATCTTGTCGGCCTTGGACGGATCCTGGTACTCGGCCAGAGCCGTCGTCAGCGCCGCGAACTCCTGTGGATTGCCCGACTGCGTCTTCCAGCTGCCACTGTGACAATAAATCGATTAATATCCAGTGACGTGGCAATAATGTAGCCATGTGACTTACCCAGTGGACTTGTCATATTCGTCCATGAGCTTGTTCAGCAGCGCGAAGGCCACTCGCGGCGGATATTCCTGATCGCACACCACGATACCCGACAGTCCATCGCGACGCACGTACACGTGGCAATTGTATTCCTCGTGCTGGATGGATTGCCGCTGGCCAGGCTCCGTGCGTTTAATGAACGTTCGACTGAAGAAGTTGATCATCTCTCGGACACTATTGCATCATAACGCCACATACATGTCGTCACTAAATGTCCTATCCTCTACAGCCCAACGTAGCATTGCCAAGCCTACCCTGAGCGCTGGAAGTAGCCGAAAGAAGACACCTCGAAGCCAGCCGAGAGGATGGTCGGGTCCTGCCCTTGGCCATCCTGACGCAGCAACTCTATCGATACGCACGGCGAAATAAGGTCAGATTCGGTTATTTATAAAAAAAATAAAATAAAATACTAAAGTAATAGCTACAATATTGCATGACAGACGCCAATGGAGAGGGGAAACACGCACCGATGGCGACGATCTTCATGGCGATGAGACGGAGGCGAGGGACGCGAGAGCGCTAGACCAGCAGTGGCTGACTTGTTGGTGGGCTATTCGCGGGAGCCGGCGGTTTCGACTGTGTGCGTTGGCTTGTCGTTTGTTTTCTCTCTCTAGCGTGTTCTGGCCGGGGCAGATAGTGGCAGGTCACTAAAGCGAGATCATTGTTGGCGAGTGCTGATTGGTCGCTGACTTTTACTTGAAGAGTTTGTCCGCATTTGTTATTTTTTCGTCAAGATGAGCGGCAGACCGTATGCGAGGAACCCGCGCGTGCCGTACGCGGACGCCAGAGACCTGGAGGCGATCATACCGCACACATTCCGTATTGAATCCCCTGTGCGTCTAAGAGACGCAAAACACGAAGCCATCCGCAGGTAAATTGTGTCTATATTGACCGAGAAAATGATATTTTCACTGATCAGCGGCGATTATATTTTTATTAGTGCGATTCGCCGCCGCTGTATGCAAAAGAACTGGCGCAAGATGATCAGTATTCGACACCGAAGACTCGCAGACGAAGCTGCAGCGGAGAAGGACGCGGAGGAAAGCAAAAACGAGGAAAAGCTGCAGGCAGAACCAAAACCTACAGAAAAACAGGAAGACGCCGCAACAGCGGCCAAGAAGCAGTTGCAGGAGCTGGAAGTGAAGCTACAGGGTCTCACAGAGCAGAAACACGCCAAGTTCCAACTGCTCAAAGATATTTTAGTGGAGGAGGCCAGATCCAAGACGTCAGGAGGAGGCAACTCGACAGCAGCGAAGAAGCGGCGCGTAGAATTCAAGGACCCCAGCATGACGCCCAGTCCAGCCAAGATGCAGTCACCACCAGTCGCTCCAACCGATGCAGTTAACGCTAGCCCAGCCGCTGCGAGAGGATTTACTGCTCCTGGCAGCGCGGAAAAGGCTTGAAGTGATCAGGTTTCTACGTGTTGGTGCGTCATAGATGCCAGTCTGAGCTGCCATACGCGTTTATAGTTTCTCCTTCTGCAAATGTTACTGTGTTGCTGTGGCTATTCAAAGCAGACTGTTCGTTAGGCGGGTGTCCTTTGGTGAAGTAAAACGGAGAGTCGGGCTTCCACAGATAACAATATGCTGCGACGCCATCGTGTTGGAGACGACTCTGAAGTGGAAGCCGGGCAGGAAGGAAACGATGCCAAGAGTACTGAGATCTCACTGGCTGCTCCGACATCGCCAAGCTCAACAACTCCAGACCCACACGCCTCATCTGCAACAGATTCAGCTCCACACGTCCAGCGTGATGATAGAATTAAACGGATAGCAAGGAACCCGGTGCCGTTTGGAAGTCTGGTGGAAGCCATGAGCTACGTGGTATTTCTCATCCTGTTCATCCTGGCCACCACTGTGGTTGAAGAGAATACTCAAGCTTTCTACTTTGCCAATCGACTGAAAACTGCACTCGTCGATCAGTCCTTCACAGTACCGACAGTCTCTACGTCCTCTACGTCAACTTCACCACCTGTTAGCAGTTCATTGCCAACCAGCTTCACTGCAATACGAGATCAAGCGCAGATGTGGGCGTTCCTTCAGGGTCCCTTTGCTGACGTCGTGTACGGTACTGTCGACGTGAGGAATGCTACGACCGAAACGGGAAGTGTAATTGCGACTTCCAACCGCTTATTAGGAGGCGTTCGTCTTCGAACTCTGCGTGTAAAAGCTGGAACGTGTCCACCGTTGCGTCAAATTCCCGAGTACGAGACGATTGTTCCGTTTTGCTATGGCAAATTTTCCAGTGACGTGGAGGAGAAGAAAGGTTACGGTCTCATTCTCAACAGCGAAGATATCGTTGCGTCGATAAGTTACGCTACAGCGAGGTTATTTTTCAATGATTTGGAATTAAATGACGTCACGAAGACATATACTCATCTCCAAACGTGTTATTCGGACTGCGAACGGGTCTGTGGAGAGGAATTTGGTGTCGACAAGTTTCGATACATCTCCCAGTGCACTGCGCAGTGTGCAGTTCAGTGTACGTGCATTTACGAAGAACCAATTGGTATTCATCTCTGTACAGATCCCAATCCGAATGGGGAGGGAGGAGCGATCCCTACCGCTGTGCACGCGTATAACTGGAGTAGTGCCAAGGTAACACAAGCGATGACAGTGCGTGGCTACACTGACGTATCGTTTCCAGGATCCGGCTACGTGGTGGATCTAGGCTTGAATGGGACGCTCTCTCGTGAGAGGTTGGTAGAACTAAAGACTGACAGATATCTCGACCTTCCTACTCGCGCCTTGATTGTGGATTTTACCGTCTACAACGCGTATCTGCAACTCTTCAACATTGTCGAAATTGTGGTCGAATTTCCAGCTTCTGGGGGCGCATTTGTTCAGCTCTCGGATGCAGTTCTGCGTCTATTTCGTTACTCTTCGGCGAGTACAGGGCGGATTATATTGGAGGGTTTTGTGGTATTTTATGTCATGATCCAGTGGTGGCGCATGCTGAAAGAAATGTATCGTGACGGGGTGAAGGGTTTCTTGACTGCTTCTCTGTGGAATGTACTTACGGCGTTGCATCTCGTTGTATTCGCAGCAACAATCGCTGTAAGACTCTACACCATCGATCTAGCGTACGGAACAATGAGTGGGAAGGCGGCAAAAGCAGTCACGTCGGCTTCACTGGAAGAAATCCCGAACTTGCAAGGACTTGCAACTGTTCTGTATGTTGAAAGCGTGGTCGAGAGCATCAATGCGGCTCTGGTGTGGATCAAGCTGCTGCAGTACACCACAGTATCTAAGCGCATGAGTCTGTTGCTGCGGATGTTAGGTCGTGCTGCTCGTGATCTGGCGTGGTTCTTCGTCTGTTTCCTCGTTTGCATTTGTGCATTTGCACAGATCGGTTTGCTGCTCTTCGGGTTAGATGTGCGTGGCTTTAGTTCTCTTGGTGTGGCAATTGTCACACTGTTGCAAGCGGTGGCAGGAGAACTGGATTATGTTGGCATGGCGGATTCTCACCGAGTGGCAGGCCCAGTTTTCTACATTTTGTACTATCTGCTGTTGTTGCTCATCTTGGTGAACGTTTTCTTGGCCATTCTCAACGACGCGTACATGCAGACAATCACTGAACAAGAAGAGGAAGACGAAGAGCTAGCGACGGCTGCTCATGACCATCTCATGGGCTGGGATGAGTCTGGAGATGTGGTAGATGCCAATGCAGATATTTCTCCCAGCGAAGAGCGAGCGCTCCAAGCTGCTCGACGTGAAATGGAACAGTTGCGTAAATATCCGTTTTCGAAGGGGTTTTCGCCAGCGTTTAGGCTACTTGTGGCAGACTCGAAACGTTTCATTGCCGAAATTCGCCATGGCAACAAAGGTGTGAATTTCACGAAAGTGGATCCTCTCATCATGTTGCCCAAGACCAAGAATAAGTGGCCACAACCTAGTGAGACTGCATCTCGCAAGTTAACACGGCATGTGAAGCGACAGGTAGCAAGCGAGTTACTGGAAGCGGAAGACCGAATGCGCGTTAGCAGGCGCGTGGAGTTGCAACAATCACAGATTGAGAATTTGCGGCATACAGTGGATGAAGACGTCGCTGCTCGACTCGAGGCTTTGGCGGAGAGTAACCGGCTTAAAACTAGGCGGATGCAAGATCTGGAAAAGACTCTTGGTTCCATTGAGAAGCTGTGCATGCAGCTCGTGAGCGACACTGCTTGTTTACGTGTTGACAGTGATGAAGACGGCGAGAAGACCAGACCATCGTCTCGAACAGCGTCGTCTCGGCCGTCCCGAACTTCGTCTCCAGCTATCGGAGGGAAGCGAAAGTCGTCTGGAGGCTCGAAACGTAGTCTCTCATTCGCAATCATGACAAATCGACAAAAGGAACGCAAAAGCGCTGGTGAGGAAATAGAGGAGATCAACCTGTAGGCAAGTTATATTTTTGTAATGGCATCCTTCTTTGGCTGCCAACAATTTTTTTTTTTTTTCACTTTTTGGCATCCACTTCAACTCCTGTGACAAAAACTTGCCACGCCCATTTCCTTGTTTCCAATAGCGCCTAGTCATTCTGTCATTTTCCGCATCGAGCCATGACTTGGCGTCAGCTACTCCCCCGCTCCCTCTGTGCTGCCGCAGGGGCCTCGATCGTCTTGTTCGGCGCTACAGCAGCGAATTCTTCCTCTGCTCCATCCATCCATGACAACGACCAACATCACGGTCGTTTCCCTCGAATGGTCATCGCTGATCCTGGTATGAAGAGTGATGGTGCCAATGATTGTCCTTATAGTAGATTTTATCTAATGTTTCCAATGTTGCCAGATACCTTTACTCGCAAGATGAAAAAGTTCGTCAAGGATGGACCCGAGCAGCTTCTGGTGATCGCCGACTTCGACCGCACTTTGACTCCGTACTACAAGCCGCGCAGTGACCCCCAAAAGCCTTTGGAGCGAGAAAGCAGCAGCCACGGCCTGCTCATGACCAGCAGTGTCTTGCCACCCGAAGTGGCTGTTGCTCATCAAAAACTTTTCGCTCGTTACTACCCCGTCGAAATCTCTTCAAACCTTTCCGACGAGGAGAAATTTCCTTTCATGGCAAAATGGTGGGACAGCGTCCACGCGTTGCTGGTCGAGTACAAGCTCTCCAAGGATCAAGTGAAGGCGGCCGTGGCGTCAGGCTCCCTGAGTTTCCGCCACGGGTTCCACCCGCTCTTCAAACTCCTACACGACCAACAAGTGCCAACGCTCGTGTTCTCCGCCGGCCTCTACGATGTGATCCACGCAGCATTGGAAAAAGAATTTGCAGCGGAACAAAAGCGCACAGATAAAATCGCAGCCGAGGATATTCCCGATGAACAAAAGTTCACACCCAGCAACGTACACGTCGTGTCCAACATGATGCATTTCGACGCTCAAGGCCGCATCGAACGCTTTGACGGACGAGTCATCCATCCGTTTACTAAGACGGCGCATGTGTTGCTAAACTCGCCCTTCTGGACGGAATGTCAGCTTGACAAACGCCGCAATGTGCTTCTGCTCGGAGACTCGCGGGGAGACGTACGCATGGCCGATGGCTTGGATGCCGACGAGATTATTCGTGTTGGCTTCCTCAATCTGAAGGTGGACGAAGCATTGGAGGAGTACCTTGATCTCTATGACGTGGTGTTCACCAACGATGCGAGTCTCGTCCCCGTGCAGATGCTGATAGAGCAGATAATAGCGTCCTCCAAGAAGGAATAGAGCGATGCCAACGTAAAAATAGGAGATCGGATATGGTGGTTGTGTCCTATTTTGGCGATCCGTAGCGATTGTGGTGTTGTGTGCTTTGCTGCAGCGCAGTGTAGAGCAGTGATTCTTGTCGCCTGCTGGCTCGTTATTACAGGTCTTGCCCCCCGCAGTTGCTCTTGGTGCTGTGGTGGCGTCCGTGCGAGTGCATTGTCAGATGAAACCGGAGCAGCTCGTTACCAAGACAATTCACTAATTCATTAGAAAGTGTTCGGAGCTCTGAGGTGATGACAGCGAATAACACTAACAAGGGAAATACAGCGGTCATGAACCCCTCCGTTCCACCCACGCCCGATTCTCCAGGACGGAAGACGAACATCCCCGGCAAGTCTTCACCTAGACAGAAACAGCAGGTGGAAGGCGTGCCACCGAACTTGAAGACTCCAGCGGACCAGGAGAAACAGCAACAGCAACGAGAGCCCGAGCGAGTCGCCACAGAGACTTCCACAGCATCGTCTTCGACTTCTGCAACTGGAGATGGCAAAGGTGCCGTAATCGGGGAATACGTGTTGGGTGAGACGATTGGCAAGGGAACGTTTGGCAAAGTCAAACTTGGGTTGCACACGCTCACGGGTGAAAAAGTTGCCGTGAAAATCCTGGAAAAGAAGCGAATTGTCCAGGCTGCAGATGTGGAGCGTGTGGCACGCGAGATCAAAATCCTAAAGCGCAATCGGCATCCGAATGTAATCCAGTTGTACGAGGTAATCGATTCTCCAGACCGCATTTTCCTCATCATGGAACACATCGACGGAGGCGAAATGTTCGAGTACATCGTGGCACATCATCGGATTCGTGAACCTGAGGCCGCTTTCCTTTTCCGGCAAATTGTGGAAGGACTGGCATATTTGCACTCAAACGAAGTTACTCATCGCGACTTGAAACCAGAAAATTTGCTACTCCAATCCAATAATCACAATTCTCGTCAGCAACAGCAACAGGCAACTGATTCAACACTTTTGGTGAAGATTGTGGATTTTGGTCTGAGTAACACCCATGACGGTGGTCGTTTGCTGCGTACAGCGTGTGGTTCACCTTGCTACGCTGCACCCGAGATGATCCAAGGACGACTGTATCGCGGTCCCATTGCGGACATGTGGAGTTTGGGTGTTGTGCTTTTTGCCATGGTCTGTGGATTTCTTCCGTTCGAGGATAGCAACACCAATATGCTTTACAAGAAAATTTTGAGTGCAAACTACAAAATGCCGACGTTTTTATCAGCAAGTGTACAGGATCTAATTCGTCGCATTCTTGAGACAGACCCCGATAAACGCTACACTGTAGACAAGATCCTTCAGCACCCGTGGCTGGCTGGCGTGCAAAAGCCCGATATATCTGGTTATGATGTGGGCGATGGGACGAAAAGCGACGAACTCAAGACTCGGCACAAACTTGTGTTAAGCCAATTGGAATCACTGGGATTATCAGCCGAAGAGGTGCAATCGGCGCTCTCAAAGAAATCTTTCAACCGATTCACGGCGTCCTATTATCTTCTTGACAGTAAACTCCAACGACTTGTGCGGAATCGCATTATACCAGCGCCGACGTTTGGCAACGCGTTGATCGACCGCAGCACCCCCAGCAGCGACAATAAACGTCAAGATCGACTGCAAGTTCGAACGGGTGGTAGTGATGCCCGCATCACGAGTTCAGGCTCTGCTGGCGGATCAAGCAAAACTATTGAGGTTACTGGAACAACTCACCGCGTTCCGGAAAGTCCAAGACGCAGGTCAAACCCTCATCACCCGCCCCAGCAGCAGCATTCAGAGACTCAAAAAGCTTCTGCTCAGCGTTCAGCCGCACCAGCAAATGCTGCGCCTCCAAGACACACCGGTGGATCTGGGTCAACTCAACGACCAGGTTCGGTGCGTAGTGGACGCAATCTTGTGATGATAAGCAATTCCCCAATAATATCGTCTGGTACAACATTTTTGCCGATCGCACCCAATGCACCGCGTGACCATCGTCTCTCCGGAACGCTTACAACCAGGAAAGCACAAAGTAACAGCCGCGTTACAGTCAGCAACGGCATGGTAGCTCTTCGGCCTCTTGTACAACCAGTACATCCACCGAGGCGAGAGTTGCCTCCATCCACCGCTACACGACGGCATTCAACTGAAGTTGCAGCACCTCCTTATCGTAATGTACATGACCCCACACCGGCGCACACGGCTCATCCACCTTCTTACCAATCGATCTCCTCGACGAATGGTGCTGTGATTATTCGACGACGACCACAAGGCCCCGTACCACCACCGCACCATTCAGGTCATACTCAAAGTCCTCACCAGTCACACGTGGCGGCAACTCCAGCAGTCGTACCTCCCCATTCAACTTTTGCCACCAAGTCAGATGATACTCGATCACCACAAAGGTTATCAATGTCAACAAACTCGTAGACGCCAGGAAAAATGCAAAAATGACTTTTCAGCGGATAATTTCTGAAAGCTAAAGTAGCAGTCCGGAACATTATTTCAAATTTCAACTGAATAATAGTATTATAAGTGAAACAATTATTAAGGTATCAGTACTATTAATACATTATCTTAATAAAGAAAAAGTGTAATATTCTAATAGTATTAAACAAAATTTGACAGTTATCTACTAAAATATAAATTTTATTACAACTCGTAGTATTAAAACTCCAATTTGACACGCATCATGCTTGGGCTCCGCCACCTCCGACGTGCCTCGCCTCTCTTCTCTGCCGGCCTGGCCCTCGCTGGGGCTGTTGCTGTGACCTCCCAAGACTACTCTCATATAGCACAATTTGAATCGAGTTCCAGCCACCGCCGGCCCCCAGGAAAGCCCATGATGTTTGCACGCGATCCAGGAACGAAATCTCCAAAACAATAATTGTATTGTCAAAAGTTATTGGCGTAACATTTTGTTTATGCAGATACTTTCGCCCGCAAGTGGAAGAAATTTTCCACCGACCGACTAGACAAACTCATAGTCATCGCCGACTTTGACTACACGCTCACTCCAGCATACACACCCACAGGTTTGTGATGAAACAGCAACACTTATTGTTAAACTGTACTAAACGTAAATTATTGTGTGACAATAATTTACCCAGATGACCAAGCTCTAAGCACGCATCGCCTTTTAATGGAAAGCGAGGCGCTTGGGCCACAAACAGAGACTGTGGCGCGCGAGATTTTCGAAAAATATTTCCCTATCGAGCAGTCGGCTAAACTCACGAAGGAGGAGAAACTTCCGTTCATGATCGAATGGTGGACCAAGACGCACGAGCTCATGATCCAGCACGGCGTTTCCAAAACTGCTGTAAAGAAGGCGGTGGAGGAGAGCGACATCACGCTGCGAGAAGGTTTCATGGATATTTTCGACTTATTGGCAAGAGAGAATGTGCCTACGCTTATTTTTTCTGCGGGACTTTACGATGTGATCCACGCCGTATTGGACAAGGAGTACGCAAAGACCCCGGCTAAAACGCCTCCAAAAAATGTGCACGTCATCTCCAACATGATGCGCTTCGACGAAAATGACAAGGTTGTGGGGTTTGATGGAACGGTACGTAAAGATTCATGAGTATAGTATACAAGTTCAGTCACGATTGTTTTATATTGTCGATGCAGCTGATTCACAGTTTGAACAAGGACGCAAGTGCGCTGGTGGAGACGGAATTCTGGAAACAATGTCAACTGGAAAAACGACACAACATTTTGCTGTTGGGAGATTCGCTGGGTGACTCGAATATGGCCAACGGATTGGACTTCAAAGAAGATGAGATCGTCCGCATCGGCTTCCTCAACGACGGTGCTGACGAGAAACTAGATCTGTACCTGCAACGCTTTGACGTTGTGCTTACAAACGACTCGAGCTTGTTACCTGTTGAGCTTCTGTTGCACCAGATCCAGCAGTGAACGCGGGATATAAAGTCTGAACGGCTTGTACACAAAAGTCGTTGGTTTACCCCTTCGTTGCTCAATAGAACTATATGCTACACGCATTACTCCATTTGAAACACTTCAACACACTTATAGAACTTCTACATCCAGATATCTGTACCGCTTCAGTTCGCGGATGACAGTTTCTCCTTCTGCAATGGGGTCAACGTTGTCGTCCCTGATTCCGACGCGTCCGAGTCTGTATCGTTTTGTCCCACAAGTTTCTCGTGTTCGTATGACGCGAGTCGATTGAACACTCGAGAGAGTCTCTGTGCCAACAGTTGCGACGGATATTCCACTAGGTAGTACGACGTCGTTGCCAATAAAATCACCAGACCGAACACGGCAAACGTCTTGTCGTAGTAGTTCGTCATCTGCTTGATCGGAGGCGTGAAGATCACGAACACGTGCAGCAAGTATACGGAAAAGCTGATCTTGCCCATGTATCGCAGCACCACCCACTCGAAGATCTGGGATACTGTGGACGGCTGGATCATCTCGATGACGATCAGTAGCGACAACTTGACACTCGTGAACGGCATGAAGTACTTGGTGGCAGGCGGTAGTGGCATACCCAACCAATTGAAGAACAGTCCACGAAAGACCACACTGAGGTACGCCGCAATCAAAACGGCCTCGACGATCCGAAGAGCGACGATGTGCAGTGGTCGGAACTTGAAACCCGTCGCTTTGATCCACGCTTCCAGCTTCAAGAGAATAACCGCCGCCATGGATCCCGCCACAAACGTCGGCAGGTGTTTGCTCAGTGGCTGACGATAGAAGTTGTCTCGAGTTGTGTACAGGCCCTCGTGGATCACCCAGACGTACAACGGCACGAACGACATCCACCAGAAGCGACCCAATTTCAGAACAGCCAGCACAAAAGCAGGCAGGATGAAGTAGTACGAGATTTCCAACGGTAGCGTCCACATGAGGTAGTGTCGGTGTTCCGGATGAAAAGTGAGTGTCTGGAACAGGTTGAAATCCTCGGGCTGTTTGACCAAGTAGTAGCGTTGCTTGTACTCGAACGGCATAAGCCACAGCGCTATAGACAGCAGAGCAAACAACGGGTACACGCGGAAGAATCGTTTGGAGAAGTAGTCGGCCAGCGTGTACCCCCACTTGCGATAGGACGCGTTCTCGGCGAAGAGCTTGATACTTTTCTTCATGAAGATCATGGTCAGTAGAAACGAAGAGAGCACGAAGAAGGCGTCGACTCCGACTGCACCCATGAAGATATCGTGCATGTAACCGGTGTGCTGTGTGACGACAAAGATGACTGCAGTTCCGCGCACTCCATCGAGGAAGAGGATCTTGGCAACGGGTGACAATCGAGACTCTTTTGGTTTACTCTGAGGGTTTAAGTCGTGATTGAGCTTGACGATGGAGACGACGTTGGAAACGACATTAGTGTGATTTACTTCTGTTCGTTCGGCTTGAGTCGAGTCATGGCCAGCATGGTTGTCTGCCGTGGCCTGGATGTTTAGCACGGTGTCTGTCTTGTGTCCGAGCATTTGCTCGAATTGTATCAAACCTGTCCCAGCAGTAAGAATGAGCTGGACACGTGAAGCAGAGGAATGCGTTGTATTAATAGCGAACATGCGAATAGCATCGTTTGGATCAAACTTTGGTAGCCACCAAGCTGACGATCCTCGTGTGTACCAAATTTTACATGCACGGTGGTAAGATGTGTAAGATTTGCTGCTCTATAATAACAGTACAGATTAACCTCTCTTAGCTAATACAACCCGTGGAACAACTTTTGATCAAGTATAGTAAGTTGATCATGTTAAGGCGGTTAGTGTGGTGCACATTCCTGAAATTTAGTGGGATTCGAACGAAATATTTCAAATCTAGAAATTTATGGAAATATCTGATGATACACCAGACTTTCCACGGTCTCTGTTGTGACCCTTTCAGAAGCTGATTTCCGATAAAATCGGCTTAGAATGGTGATTTCATGTCGATACATATCAAGATTCCTACTAGCAGGAAGTAAAACCTTTAATTTTGACAGCATTTAACTGTTTTTTTTCCTATCACCACATTGCATCAAGTTTCAAGTTGGACAGTATTATCAGGGGACTATGCAAAAAAGCAAGTCTGCGAATCAAATCCTATCAAGTACGACAGGATGTCACGATATACAAGGTTGATCTGTACACTGTCCAGTACAGTACACGTACGGTGATGAGCAGCTGAATAATCCTCAGAAACCATCTTGTCTCCGCCATAAACTTGGGCGACGTAAATTTGTACGATTGGTTGCAGGACGAGCAGCGAAATATGACGGTAGTGAAACGGGTGTATTACCACGGAGCTATGCACTGTAAGGAAAAATTGTGTTGTTTGTGGCAATAAGGTAATAAGCAAAGGGTGTGCACTTCATAAATATCGTACTGAAAATAGAATACGGAGTAATTCCTCTCGAAGTAGTGCTTATTTCGAGATAAAGCATGGAGATGAGATTTGTGCTACCACATAATGCCTGATGCAATCATGGAAACCGTGTGATGTTGAAATCTTCCGCCCATGTGTAAAACTCCTAGATATTATTTTGATCTTGACTTCTAGGTGCTGTGCGCAGTTCATGTTGCATCGCTTCTACTGCGCGGCTTCAGTTAGAGCACCGGAGAATAGTGAGATTATTTCGGAATTAGTATGCATGCAGCTTTCCTACGTTCAAAGTTACATAAATCAACAAACGAAGTGGATCGACCCAGTGGCAAGTCGACACGGTCCACAGGTTATACTGGGAATACCTCAGAATGAGTAATGGACAGCCCAAACAGGATTAATTTGCTGAATAACCGGTATTAATACAGTTTGTACCGTATTAGCACATGCATCTCGATTAAAGAGTTTAGGTTTGAGCAGTTTGAACAGGTTAGTTTCACCCTTTCGACCATCAAATTGGATTTTGAAAATGCGGACTATACATTTGTGAACTGTTCAACTCAGCTTTTTCTCTTTGATCAGAGATAATTCCAGTTTGACCGGGAACTATACTGGTACGCAGTCAGATACAACATTTTTTTAGGTCTTAACCAGATAGTCATCTTGCGGCTTAATCGAGCCTTCCGCACGGGATACTGTATCGATCCGGGAAACGCATGTCCATATCTATTTTACTATTAAAATAGCACAGTACGACATTGTCCTATCCAGAGAAGTGTGGATGCCATCGGAAGTAGTTCTGTATGTTCCACCAACAAAATGGCATTCACCGGCGGGGTCATCGAGATGGAAAATGGCGTTGGTACTGTGACTTCTGTTAGGAAGCAGCTGGTGACTCGTACCAAACGTTATTTTAACCAAAATAATACGTGTACACGTATACCGTACTAAGGAGCACAAAATTCTCAAAAAAAGCGCCTTATAAATGTAATTTTTAAATTATTATTTGGATTAGTTAACAATTAATCCATTTTTAAAAGATCTGGTAGGCCACTAACGCTTTCGCCTATCGACATGTGGTTGTACTGCTAACTGACGTGTGAGATTCCTTGTTGGATGCCACCTTATAATAGGTTGTTAATAATAGCAAATCCTGGCGCCTGTCGTGCGGGAAGGACTTGGTGAACAAGGATCATTCATGGCTGTCTATCCGACGAAACCACTCTGTAATTTGCCACGCCTGAATCAAAACTCCGACACACTTTATCGCTCGGATGTTCGAACCACAAAGAGAGAACACGCTAAACTTTCAAGTTCCTGATGACCACATTGTCCAAGACCAAGATACCACGCTAACAATGAAAGTTGAAACGAATAGCGACAACGTCGAACGGTCCAAAGAAAGCAATAGAAATCAAGAAAGCAAACCGAAATTGTCGCCCGTTGCCAAGATCCTCTTCCTCGATGGAGTGCGCGGAACTGCAGTCATCTTTGTCGTCACACAGCACACCGGTTACATGCACGATATCTTCATGGGTGCAGTCGGAGTCGACGCCTTCTTCGTGCTCTCTTCGTTTCTACTGACCATGATCTTCATGAAGAAAAGTATCAAGCTCTTCGCCGAGAACGCGTCCTATCGCAAGTGGGGGTACACGCTGGCCGACTACTTCTCCAAACGATTCTTCCGCGTGTACCCGTTGTTTGCTCTGCTGTCTATAGCGCTGTGGCTTATGCCGTTCGAGTACAAGCAACGCTACTACTTGGTCAAACAGCCCGAGGATTTCAACCTGTTCCAGACACTCACTTTTCATCCGGAACACCGACACTACCTCATGTGGACGCTACCGTTGGAAATCTCGTACTACTTCATCCTGCCTGCTTTTGTGCTGGCTGTTCTGAAATTGGGTCGCTTCTGGTGGATGTCGTTCGTGCCGTTGTACGTCTGGGTGATCCACGAGGGCCTGTACACAACTCGAGACAACTTCTATCGTCAGCCACTGAGCAAACACCTGCCGACGTTTGTGGCGGGATCCATGGCGGCGGTTATTCTCTTGAAGCTGGAAGCGTGGATCAAAGCGACGGGTTTCAAGTTCCGACCACTGCACATCGTCGCTCTTCGGATCGTCGAGGCCGTTTTGATTGCGGCGTACCTCAGTGTGGTCTTTCGTGGACTGTTCTTCAATTGGTTGGGTATGCCACTACCGCCTGCCACCAAGTACTTCATGCCGTTCACGAGTGTCAAGTTGTCGCTACTGATCGTCATCGAGATGATCCAGCCGTCCACAGTATCCCAGATCTTCGAGTGGGTGGTGCTGCGATACATGGGCAAGATCAGCTTTTCCGTATACTTGCTGCACGTGTTCGTGATCTTCACGCCTCCGATCAAGCAGATGACGAACTACTACGACAAGACGTTTGCCGTGTTCGGTCTGGTGATTTTATTGGCAACGACGTCGTACTACCTAGTGGAATATCCGTCGCAACTGTTGGCACAGAGACTGTCGCGGGTATTTAACCAGCTCGTGTCGCATGAGTATGAGAAGTGTCAAAGTGATACTGACGATTCAGACGACTCGGATACATGCACAACCAAGTCTTCCGTAAGCCTGTTGGTAAGGTAA